AGTCATCAGCAATGTTACAAGTCAGCTGTTGTCTGGTAATTTATATTATTAATTATTACTGTGAGTGAGTGAACATCGTTTTAAGCCGCTGTTAGCAATAGTGCAGCAATATCACAGCGGGGTACACCGGAAACGGGCTTCATGCACACATTGTACCCATTTGGGGAATCGAACCCGGCTCTTTGGCGTGACGAGCGAACACTTAGCCACTAGGCGACCCCCCCCCCCCCCCCCCCCCCCCTTCTGTCGTGTATTGGTTGTTTAGTACTCACCAATCAGTGATGTCACAGTTCAACTGTGGGTTGCCTTACGCAGACATAAACTTGTTAAAGGTTCCTGTTGAAAAGTCATTTGAGGCCTTCCAATTCGATGAGCAGTGTGTTACCTCCCCTAAGCGTGCCAGAATCCTATTATCGAGGGTTCGAATCCCACGCTCATCCCGATTTCTATTCTGATTATAACCAAACTACTGTTTAAGGTGGCGTTATACCCCACTCACTCACTCACTCACTCTAATCAGCAGCCATTGCAAGAAATCGGCGGATACAGAGCCTGGCGTCGCGGAAGGAACGCGGCAGGTGAAAATATGCATTTCTAGATGTTAAATCTAAATGTGCACAAACACATGCATATATACCTACTCTTTAACGTTCGTTTCCGGTAGAAAGATAATCATGACTGACATAGTTCTCGTCAGGGGGTCTCGCTCTGAGACGCTGTTTGTTTATCACATTTACCGGCCTCCTGCAAGTGTCGGATGTGACGTCACAATCCATAAATGAATTTTGTCAGAAATCTAGCACCACTTCCGGTGAGGCGAGAGCTCAGACAGGGTTGGAACATTCATGCGAACATAGAAACTATCAAGTGTTTGAATGGCCTTCAGAAGTGATATGCATGAAAGAGCCTGATGGAGGAGCTAGCACATACTCCCAAACGTTGTATTCCTCATAAAAAAAGTTGACATCCATAAGATTCTCTCTTATAGAAACTATGCAAATAGTCTACGTTTCCCCTGATTATCAGAGCCAGGTGCCGATTCCATTCTTTGGGAGGATACCAGGATACACGGCGTTCATATAAACTCTCGGGTTTCAGTTTATACATGCATCTACTCCTCGGTCTACACACTCGACCCCAGAGGATCTGTGTGGGTGCGCACCCCTTCTGGAAACATACTTTAGACTTATACATTCCACTATGTTACAGGTGATCCGCTACACTAAGAGTAAACGCTAATTGTACTTTGACTAGCTAATTTGGTGATGTATTTTCACTAAAATTAACCGATTTCTCAACGCGAATTACCAACTCGCAACATGGACCCTCTTTTTGTGAAAAGGGTGTATACCTTCCATGCCTTTGTTTGTTTGTTGTGTAACACCACATTCAGTAATACTCCAACTGTAACTATTCCTGTAAATAACACTGTCTCATACCGTCGGAGTACAATTTGAGTGTGTGTTTGTTTGTTTGTTGTTTAACGCCGCAATCAGCAATGCTCCAGCGATAAGACGGCGGTCTGTAAATAACTGACACTCCTGAGAGTGACATCAAGAGCATCCATCTACGCAATACGATACGATGTGGTACGATGAGATACGAAGATATACGATGGGATATGGTGCGATACGATAAGATACGATGAACTACGATGGGATACGATGAGATACGACGGGATACGATAAGATACGATGAGATGCGATGGGATACGATGAGATACGATGGGATACGATAAGATACGATGAGATGCGATAAGATTCGATGAGATGCGATGGGATACGATGAGATGCGATGGGATACGATAAGATACGATGAGATGCGATGGGATACGATGAGATACGATGGGATACGATAAGATACGATGAGATGCGATAAGATACGATGATATGCGATGGGATACGATGAGATGCGATGGGATACGATAAGATACGATGAGATGCGATGGGATACGATGAGATCCGATGGGATACGATAAGATACGATGAGATGCGATAATTTACGATGAGATGCGATGGGATACGATGAGATACGATGGGATACGATGACATGCAACAACCAAGGCGTGAGTGACAGCTCGATCGATCCATTTAGTCGCCTCTTACAGCCATAAATAGACAACTGGGGGCCTACTCTGGCGCAACGGGTCCTACCATGTCTTCTCGTATATAACAGTACACACTCACAATACTCTCGTGAGTTAACGGTACATGCATCTACTACTATGTACCTTCCATGTCTGCTTGTGATGTGACATCGCCCCTCAGGAAAGCTACGTTATCTTGTCCATACTTTTTCTCAAATTCTTTCAGCGTCGCTTGTCCCTTTTCCTCGTTAACATCCGAGAATAGAACCTGCAAATAAAGAAAAAGTAGATACAATCCTTCAAAGACGCTACTTGAGGAATAGTGAGTGAGTATGGTTTTACGCCGCTTTTAGCAATATTCCAGCATATAACGGCGGGTGACACAAGAAATGGGCTTCGCACATTGTGCCAATGTGGGGAATCGAACCCGGATCTTTAGCGTGACGAGCGAACGCTTTACCCACTAGCCTACCCGACCGCCCGACTTGAGGAATAGATAAGAAATCATGTCTCTCGTACCTTTGTGGGGCACGGGTGGCCGAGTGGTTCAAGGCGCCGCAAATCGTGCAGAGCTGAACCTACAGGCGAAACAGTAACGATCGCGGGTTCGAATCCCGGTTAGCCTTGGTTATGTGTCCAGGGTTGTCGGGCACCATATCCATGCTCGGGGGCTTCACCACAGCGGTAAACGCCTATGACCTCACATCCTGGTTTCACCCCACATCATATATAACTAACATATTTTTCAAACTTATTTAGTAGACTCAGCGGGACCTTTGGTTGTTCAAGGTGGAATAAAGGTGATTGGATGGTCACAATGCCTACTGAGGATGGACATTATTTGAATGAATGACAATCATGGACGACCATCGTGGACACTTGACGTTGTTGATTCAGTGTATATGGGACGCGTGAAGATCCAGGGTATAATTGGTCTTCAGCAAACTATGCTTGCCGTAAAAGGCGACTAACGGGATCCGGTGGACAAGCTTGCTGACTTGGTTGATGCATGTCATCGTATCCCAGTTGTGTAGATCGATGCTCATGATGTCAATCACTGGATTGTCTGGTCAAGACTCGGCTATTTACAGACCGCCGACATATTTAGCTGGAATAATTCTGAGTGCGGCGTTAAACAAACAAACAAACAATGAAACAAACAAACAATATGGGACCCGATCTCCGGTGACATATCGCTCTAGTATGTTTCATTATAGGGGGGGGCCCCAGTCAGAACTGGTTCCGGCAACCTTTGCTGGTCATGAATGGCGACCTTGAGGATCGGGTGGTCAGGCTCGATGACCTCGTTAAATACGTGTCAACGTACTAGGATCGGGTGACTTATTACTCATAATATCAGTCACTAGTTTATTGTAACGATTATAACGATAATTTACAGGCCGTGGTCATATTGATGCGGACTCGAATATTGATGAAGGGCGTTAAAGAAAAAGAACCCCGTTGCGTCGCCCATATTTTACCACGCAGTAGACGCAGCACTGAGACTTGTCACCACTACCTTCTGTGGTGCTGAGAGAATGTCTGTGTAGTCGGTGTACGTGTTATCATTACGGCTAGACTGATAAACATAACGCAATTACGGTAGGGGGCAGGCAAACAAGATACGGCTTAATGAATTAAATCAAACTTGCTAGAACAGTTCACACAGACGGATGTAAGGGGGGTTGGGTTGGTTCCAGATCTCCCCCCCCCTTGAAGCCAAATGCAGTATGTTGTAGGCAATCTACTCCCCCCACTAAGAGAGGGGTTTGCTATTTTGGACCCCACCCTTTTAAAACTGTTGGATCCCTTGGAGCCGTACAAAACAACCCCTAAGGTGTCGAAGGTGTGACAATTTCAACGGTGAGGTGACGTGAGGTGAGGTGTCGACGGTGTGACAATTTCAACGGTGAGGTGCCGTGAGGTGAGGTGTCGAAGGTGTGACAAGTTCAACGGTGAGGTGACGTGAGGTGAGGTGTCGAAAGTGAGACAAGTTCAACGGTGAGGTGCCGTGAGGTGAGGTGTCAAAAGTGTGACAAGTTCAACGGTGATGTGACGTGAGGTGAGGTGTCGAAGGTGTGACAAGTTCAACGGTGAGGTGACGTGAGGTGAGGTGTTGAAAGTGTGACAAGTTCAACGGTGAGGTGACGTGAGGTGACATGGGGTTTAACGTCGCGTTCATGATTGTTTCACTTACATAGCGACATGCATGCACGTGTGTGTGTGTATGTGTGTGTATGTGTGTGTATGTGTGTGTCCGTACCAATGCAAGGATACCCCACTCAGACACAGCTACCAGCTCTAAACAGACCATTCCCTGTTGTAACCCCTTAATGCCTAGTGCCAGACAGGGTAACAACAAGTACCATGTTTTAACGTCTTTTGGTATGACGCGGCCGGGGATCGAACCCCGTCCTTCCGCTCTCCGAGCAGACGCTCTACCACTAGAGCGTTCCATGCATTATAAATGAGAAATAGTTGTGATATGAATCATGCACACATCTGTTGCTTACTAACATTAAAAATGAAAACAGCGCATTTCAGTGACAGGCAGGGATTCCATTGTGTCGTCATACATAACATTGAATTATTGACAAGACGTTAGACAGGTACATAGGTCTAACTCAGCCCTTTTATACAACTGATGCTTTGTCAGGCTCTGAAAGGAGTTTAGAGTATTTGTCAATACGTGCGTGGCGACATGCTGTATCTTGTCAGTGTTACATTACCTGCATTGATAGCGTATTAGATAGCCCACACAGGTTCTGAAGTAGGTCAACTCCTCTATAGTATATACGTAAAGAAATTAATTAATAATCGATATCTCCCCTGCTTACTATGGCAACAGATCGAATGTAGAAAGTTATACATTTCCCTTCACAACATCGCGTAACACAAATACAGCACACCGTACCTTTGCACCATTCTGTAACAGTGACGCAGCGAACGCCTTCCCCAGACCCTGTGCGGCTCCCGTAACCATGGCGACCTTCCCGCTGACTTTCATCGTGTGCTGTTGTTGTGGTGGTATACGCTCACAGACTGAGCTCGGCTGTTTGCACAACTCGCCTAAATACTTTACAACTCCGCCATAAGACTCTGCAGTCAATGGTTTGAGGTGGTCGCGTGCGTGATTCTTCTCTAGTTGATAGCATATATGTACATATACCCAGAGACCATATAATAATCTCTGATATACCTCTCTCGTTGAATATGTATGTCACTTACCCGGTGTACACACAATTACATCCCTGTGGAGAACTGGTGTTGTATGTTAATTAAAAACAGTAAACTTTAAGTGAGTAAAATTTAACGCCGCATCGGCATTATTACAGCCATATAGCGATTTAAGTGTGAAATAGAAACAAAACATATTTCACAAGTAAGGTACGAAAATCTATCAAGCTACATTGTTTAGGCGTCATCTTCCAAAACAATATCATATAATAATCGATTTCGATAGTATAAGTTTTGATAGTGTAACGGTTTTGCTTAATCATTGCACATCAATTCTAATCAGCATGTTGAATCTCGTAGGACTAGTCATGATTGGTAGCTGTAGTGTATGAGTGTTGACGAGAGGTGTTCCTGCACTTGTACCTGTATTGAGCGGGGACTGACCTCCTTCAACATGGGGGTTAGGTAAGCTGGTGTGTGGGTGATAAACTCTCCTGTTGCCAAGGGAGGGTGTCGACACACCAACTCTATACACCTGTACTGTGATCGCGCATGTGGGGTAGAACCCCTCCCTCTCCCCCTCCCACTCCCCTCACAGTGATCTGGGTCACTGACGAGAATATCGAACTTGGAACGGCAAGGCGAAGGTAAAGAGGTAAATTTGTTTCCCATAGAAATTGTACCGGGAGGCATTCTATTCCAACAGAAACCCAATTAATAATAAAGCAGGCGTTTCGTGAAAGAATGTGCGCTTTTGGGGATAAAAGCATGATACTTGGCACTTTTGTAGTTAATGACATTCCAAATATTTTCAGATATGAGGCCACCCAAAAAAGTCCAATATGGCCGCCAAATCCAATATGGCCGCCAAATCCATGCCATGGAGGAATGAAATTCTGGTATAACTCGTTTGATTTGTTGTTTGTTTGTGTTTTAACGCCGGACTCAGCAATATTCCAGCTATATGAGTACATGATTCACAACCTAAATATATTATGAAAAATGAATATCACGGAATGCATGTCTACCCAAAACTATATATGTAAAGTAAATAACTATATTAAATTAGACTATTTGTTTCGATTTACGTAATCTACAGCGTAAAAAATGAAAACAATATGCATATTTGAATATGCAAATGATTTTTGAAGAATATTCAAAGGACGTTTCCATTCCATTTACACACAAAAACAGCTTGAGAGTTTGTCCAGAGTCGACATTGTTTGGGACGAGTGCAGTCTCACATTAACAGCAAGAAGCAGACGAGGAAAAGGAGTCACGTGCTGCGTTCAACCAATCAGCAACATAGGAGCATTTCTGAGAACTGTCCAGAACAAGACAGAACTGATTCAGTTTTTGTCTTAACAATTTATTTCATTTGAATGTGGAGATAAACAAATTATACGCACTCACAGCAAACAGGTTCTGTGCAACAAAAGGTCAGATGTTGCCAATGACTGACATCCATGTTCAGATGAAGAAGCTAACACAAGACACTTTTTGCAAACGTCTAATGCTGCCAGACAGGGCCGTTATAGGACTTGGATTCGAACAGTTGATATGACGTCATTGTCCTGGTCATTGCATTGTTTGACAGAATATATGTGTCTCACACCTTGATAGCTTTTGGAGCTGCAGAACAATGGAGATATTTGGCTGTTCATGTCCTTGCGGGCAAAGGTGGTATTGTGAAGTGCCCCATTTAATTGGAACACTACATGTCAAATGTGGTGGCAACTGTGATCCAGCCAACCAAAACCTTTAGCCGTTTGCACCACATTTTAATAAATACAAATTTTGGTTCGTTAAGTATTCTGTTGTTGTCTTTGTATTAACCTTATTGGTATAGTTAATTAGCCTCAATGAAGTATGTTTTAAAGCTATGTCGACAAAGAAAGGAACACATTTTTATATTTTCTTCACACTTTAGATTCCCTGAGTCAAAATAAATAGTCTATTTTAATAACATTATTTACTTTACAGATATAGTGTTGGGTAAATACATTCCAAAATGTTAATTTTTCATCACATATTTAGGTTGTGGGCACATTGGATTTGGCGTCCATTTTGATTTTTTGGGGTTGCCTAATATCTGAAAATATTTGGAATGTCATTACCTACACAACTGGGCAATGTTTCATGGTTTTATCACAAACTGCACTGTTGACCTTATATCTGTCACGAAACGTCTCCACTATAAAAGATGCTTTCTTAATGTGGTACACGTCTTGGGTGGGCGAACACAAACTAAACGCCATAAAACAAGCGATTAAACACCTTCACGTAACTGAAACAACTTTATTCAGTGTTGACAGACATACGATAGCTAAGATCGCTTTGTGGAACGGGGCCCTAGCGCTCATGTATGGTACAACATCACGTTTGTCTGCAATAAAATAGATAAATAAGTGAGAGAATATGCAATTCACAGGAGATAAAGTAAAACGTGGACCAAAACATTATCCTTATCCCTGTGAGATCACCGTAAAACACACTGACACGTGACACTGACACGTGACACAAGGCGAATTGAATAAAAGTCCCGTGGTTGTCTCGCACGAACTCTACACTATATGTTAGATAATGTTGACAAAGACTTGTTAATATTTTATTACTAAGAGTGTAATAAACATTTCCTTATAACATGCGTGGCGGTGGGAGGACACCACGCTGGCCCAGTCGTCTAAGACGCCGCAATCAATTCGCTGTGCAGAGGTTTGTCAGAAGCATACCAGTGCTCGTATTTTTCCCAATTCTTTCAAAGTCTCTTCTCCCTTTTCCGCGTTATCACCCGAAAATAGAATGTTGGAGGAAAGCCCTACGTGAAACAGGTCTTAGACGTTTACTACTGCGGTGTTGACAAACCTAGAAACATAAATGGGGCGAACCGGGATTCGAACCTTCAATTATTTCATTTTGAAATAGTTCTTAGTTTAGTTATTATTGAATCATATTTCAGTCGTCACGGCAGCCGTATTTACAATGTAATTTTGATCACGACTCATGTTCCGTTGTGTAACATAAGACATACAACGGTCTATATGGTTAGAATTAAGCGTATCATGTTATGACATTTCTTCATCTTTGACATCTCCTTGAAACCCAAGTGAGGCGGGGTCGTGTAGTGGTTACAGCATAGACTCGTCATCCCGCTGCCTAGGGTTCGATTCCCCCCACATGGGTACAATATGTGAAGCCCGTTTCTGGTGTCCCTCCCCCCGCTGTAATGTAACCGGAATATACCCACACAGAAGCGGACAGGGGGGAGAGGTTGAAGTGGGCGGGGCTGTGGGGGGAGGAGGGGCCCTCGACAATCCTGGTACTTCTATTGAACCATTTAAAACAAAAAGAAATCGACACGAAAATAATATTATCATGCTCTGTGTTTCGATATGAGAAATAAAATACTAAATAAAGCATCCACTACTCCTGCCCTCAAAATGGCATACAGTAAACTACGTTAATAACGAACACGCTTATAACGAACTGGCGGATATAACGAACTATTTTTTCGGTCCAGGCCATTTGCTGTATATATGCTGTACATATGTTTATAACAAACTACGGTTGTAACGAACTTAACTTAGTGGTCCCTTCGAGTTCGTTATAACCGTAGTTTACTGTACATTATCGAGGGATAATGACGATAGTGACAAGAACACGCGTGGTAAAAAGATCCACAATGATATGAGCCTGACGTTTGTACAGTTTGCCGCAATCGCATGCCGAACCTCAGGCTGGATGTAAACCACTGTGTCAACAGATGTATCAGGTGTCCGACCTTCATGTAGAACCGCCAGTGTGGGCGATAGTGTTTTATCTGATTGAATATGATATTTGACTTTAAATGTGACAGCGCGACACTACCAGTAAGCATTCAGTCACGCCATCACGTGTCTTCTCTTCACTACTAACACAGCCTTTGACCTGCCACGCGAGTGATAGTTGGAGTGAATATATTGGTATCTCTGGCGTCTGATTCCGTGATCCTTACCAGAGTGAGTGAGTGAGTGAGTATGGTTTTACGCCGCTTTTAGCAATATTCCAGCAATATCACGGCTTGGGACACCAGAAATGGGCTTCACACATTGAACCCATGTCGGGAATCAAACCCGGGTCTTCGGCGTGACGAGCGAACGCTTTAACCACTAGGCTACCCGACCGCCCCGATCCTTACCAGAAACAGGTTCAGGAGACAAATGAATAAAAGAAAATCACACCAACAAATAATTAAAAAGATAAAAAAATTCTTTGTATAAATTATAAAAAATATGAAAAAAAGGAAATAAACTGTATGATCTAATTGATATGTTATGCATCGAGGCACTCACGGGCCCCTATATCATCATCATAGTTAACATGGCTTCAGCTGTATCCATAGACCAGCCTGTAGTCTCTGAAAAGAACATATTTTAAAGAAAAACAGTAAAAAGGAGCTCAGATACTCTCTTTAACTGAGTGAGTGAGTGAGTGAGTATGGTTTTACGCCGCTTTTAGCAATATTCCAGCAATATGACGGCGGGGGACACCAGAAATGGGCTTCACACATTGTACCCATGTCGGGAATCAAACCCGGGTCTTCGGCGTGACGAGCGAACGCTTTAACCACTAGGCTACCCGACCGCCCCTCTCTTTAACTGAAACTGCAGTAATCTAGACTTGCCCACTATTATAGACTTGCATGGGCTGTATGACAGACAACTGTAGCCTATGTGCATTCCAACAGCCACGAATACCAGACGTATGGGGGCGGTCGGGTAGCCTAGTGGTTAAAGCGTTCGCTCGTCACGCCGAAGACCCGGGTTCGATTCCCGACATGGGTAAAATGTGTGAAGCCCATTTCTGGTGTTCCCCGCCGTGATGTTGCTCGAATATTGCTAAAAGCGGCGTTAAACCATACTCACTCACTCACTCCAGACGTATGGTGTTCCCGTGTTGAGCCAGGTTCACACTGTGCCGATTATGGCTCCCGTTTGAGATGAAGGACGGTAGTAAAAATCCTGAATGTGTGACTGAGCTCTAACCTCACATCCCCATCTATCGCAGTGTTTCACAACACACTGGTTTATAACCACGGCGTTACACTGTAAACGCCTTATTCATCAAGATGGTGAGTATTGTTTTACGCCGCTTTTAGCAATATTCCAGCAACATCACGGCGGGGGACACCAGAAATGGACTTCATACATTGTACCCATGTTCGGAATCGAACCCGGGTCTTCGGCGTGACGAGCATCGATCAAGGCAATTGGCATGCGATCCCATGCATCAACCAAGTCAAAGAGTCTGACTACCCAATCCCGTTACTCGTCTCTGCTCTAGACCAACTCATTGTCAGTACCATACCCGTGCTCGTGGGTTTCACCCAAGTTGTAAACGTCTGAGACCTGCATCACTTCGGGCTTTTCTCCCACATTAAGCTGATATACCGTGATATAACTGGAATACTGTTAAAAGTGCGTTAAACCCAACTCACTCACTCACTCACTCACTCACTCACTCACTCACTCACTCACTCACTCGATCACTCACTCACTCACTCACTCACTCACTCACTCACTCATAAGACCCGCGCTCATGTAATAATTTCCATGTACTTTTAAGATACTGATCGTTATTAAAAGCGTACATAGCGTTTGTGCCAGTTAAATGGAAGGGACATTTTCTGTTTGTCAGTAGTAATGAGCGCTTTGTATTGGTTAGGTCACGTCGGCGTTCATCTAGTGTGGTAGTAACATATTTTACTGGCGCTTCTAACAGCCACAGAGGCCCTGATGGTGACGTGCACAGAAACCCCAGTCGTTACTACACGCTACAGACGCTGTCCTCGGGTAGCCGTTCACCTTGTGTCTGCACCACGGCGCCTTCAACACTGCTACAGGATCAAGACGATGTTCTTAGCAAGAGAGCAAAACCTGTAACAATCTCCTTGCATCTTTACGCCCCTCCCCAACCGGCCAAAAACAGGGATGGATGATCGAACTCGCCCGGAGGACTAATACAATTAAAATAGGACATGTAAGTGTTTTGACACATGCTGAAAGTTATATAGTGTCACTTGAATCCCCCGGTCAAGTGATATAGCGTCACTTGAATCCCTCGGTCAAGTTATAAAACGCCACTTGATTCCCCCGGTCAAGTTATATAGCGTCACTTGATTCCCTCGGTCAAGTTAGTTATATAGCGTCACTTGATTCCCTCGGTCAAGTTAGTTATATAGCGTCACTTGATTCCCTCGGTCAAGTTATATAGTGTCACTTGAATCCCTCGGTCAAGTTATATAGCGCCACTTGAATCCCCCGGTCAAGTTATATAGCGTCACTTGACTCCCTCGGTCAAGTTATATAGCGCTACTTGAATCCCCCGGTCAAGTTATATAGCATTACTTGAATCCTCCGGTCAAGTTATATAGCGTCACATGAATGCCCCGGTCAAGTTATATAGCGCCACTTGAATCCCCCGGTCAAGTTAAATAGTGTCACATGAATCCCCCGGTCAAGTTATATAGCGTCAATTGAATCCCTCCGTGAAGTTATATAGCGCCACTTGAATCCCCCGGTCAAGTTATATAGCGTCACTTGATTCCCCCGGTCAAGTTATATAGCGTCACATGATTCCCCGGTCAAGTTATATAGCGTCACATGATTCCCCCGGTCAAGTTATATAGCGTCACTTGATTCCCCCGGTCAAGTTATATAGCGTCACATGATTCCCCCGGTCAAGTTATATAGCGCCACTTGAATCCCCCGGTCAAGTTATATAGCGCCACTTGAATCCCCCGGTCAAGTTATATAGCGTCACATGAATCCCCCGGTCAAGTTATATAGTATCACTTGTTTCCTCCGGTCAAGTTATATAGTGTCACATGATTCCCACGGTCAAGTTATATAGTATCACTTTTTTCCTCCGGTCAAGTTATATAGTGTCACATGATTCCCCCGGTCAAATCGCCGCACATGACATTTTGGCACAACCTTGTGAGTCTTTAGTGAAAAAAACTTGAACGTCTTCTTATTTGATAATGAATAACCCGGGCACAGATACACACCCTGATTAAACCGGACACAGATACACACCCTGAGTAACCCGGACACAGATACACACCCTGACTAACACGGACACAGATACACACCCTGACTTACCCGGACACAGATACACACCCTGACCTACCCGGACACAGATACACACCCTGACCTACTCGGACACGGATACACACCCTGACCTACCCGGACACAGATACACAACCTGACTAACACGGACACAGATACACACCCTGACTAACCCGGACACAGATACACACCCTGACTAACACGGACACAGATACACACCCTGACTAACACGGACACATATACACACCCTGACTAACCCGGACACATATACACACCCTGACTAACCCGGACACATATACACACCCTGACTAACACGGACACAGATACACACCCTGACTAACCCGGACACATATACACACCCTGACTAACCCGGACACATATACACATCCTGACTAACCCGGACACAGATACACACCCTGACTAACCCGGACACAGATACACACCCTGACTAACCCGGACACATATACACACCCTGACTAACCCGGACACAGATACACAACCTGACTAACCCGGACACATATACACACCCTGACCTACCCGGACACAGATACACACCCTGACTAACCCGGACACAGATACACACCCTGACTAACACGGACACATATACACACCCTGACTAACACGGACACATATACACACCCTGACTAACACGGACACAGATACACACCCTGACTAACCCGGACACAGATACACACCCAGACCTACCCGGACACAGATACACACCCTGACTAACACGGACACATATACACACCCTGACTAACCCGGACACATATACACACCCTGACTAACACGGACACAGATACACACCCTGACTAACCCGGACACATATACACACCCTGACTAACCCGGACACATATACACATCCTGACTAACCCGGACACAGATACACACCCTGACTAACCCGGACACAGATACACACCCTGACTAACCCGGACACATATACACACCCTGACTAACCCGGACACAGATACACACCCTGACTAACCCGGACACATATACACACCCTGACCTACCCGGACACAGATACACACCCTGACTAACCCGGACACAGATACACACCCTGACTAACACGGACACATATACACACCCTGACTAACACGGACACATATACACACCCTGACTAACACGGACACAGATACACACCCTGACTAACCCGGACACAGATACACACCCTGACTAACCCGGACACATCTACACACTCTGACTTACCCGGACACAGATACACACCCTGACTAACCCGGACACATATACACACCCTGACTAACCCGGACAGAGATACACACCCTGACTAACCCGGACACAGATACACACCCTGACCTACCCGGACACAGATACGCACCCTGACTAAAACCCAGACACAAATACACACCCTGACTAAAATGAACATATGCACACACCCTGATTAACCCCTACACACGTGCAGATACAATAAACACAGAATTTCTGTTTGAAGGTTTTGTATTATCGGTTTCTCTTCCAGGCACATGTACCATCCTGTAAACATGGACCTAACATACATATATCGATGTCATTTGTTAACAATGTTGTCATACTCTTTGACATGTTATAGAATGGACAAACATCATATATCGATGTCATTTGTTAACAATGTTGTCATACTCTTTGACATGTTATAGAATGGACAAACACCATATATCGATGTCATTTGTTAACAATGTTGTCATACATGTTGACATGTTATAGAATGGACAAACACCATATATCGATGTCATTTGTTAACAATGTTGTCATACATGTTGACATGTTATAGAAAGGACGAACACCATATATCGATGTCATTTGTTAACAATGTTGTCATACATGTTGACATGTTATAGAATGGACAAACACCATATATCGATGTCATTTGTTAACAATGTTGTCATACATGTTGACATGTTATAGAATGGACAAACACCATATATCGATGTCATTTGTTAACAATGTTGTCATACATGTTGACATTTTATAGAATGGACAAACACCATATATCGATGTCATTTGTTAACAATGTTGTCATACATGTTGACATGTTATAGAATGGACAAACACCATATATCGATGTCATTTGTTAACAATGTTGTCATACATGTTGACATGTTATAGAATGGACAAACACCATATATCGATTTCATTTGTTAACAATGTTGTCATACATGTTGACATGTTATAGAATGGACAAACACCATATATCGATGTCATTTGTTAACAATGTTGTCATACTCTTTGACATGTTATAGAATGGACAAACACCATATATCGATGTCATTTGTTAACAATGTTGTCATACATGTTGACATGTTATAGAATGGACAAACACCATATATCGATGTCATTTGTTAACAATGTTGTCATACATGTTGACATGTTATAGAATGGACAAACACCATATATCGATTTCATTTGTTAACAATGTTGTCATACATGTTGACATGTTATAGAATGGACAAACACCATATATCGATTTCATTTGTTAACAATGTTGTCATACATGTTGACATGTTATAGAATGGACAAACACCATATATCGATGTCATTTGTTAACAATGTTGTCATACATGTTGACATGTTATAGAATGGACAAACACCATATATCGATTTCATTTGTTAACAATGTTGTCATACATGTTGACATGTTATAGAATGGACAAACACCATATATCGATGTCATTTGTTAACAATGTTGTCATACTCTTTGACATTTTATAGAATGGACAAACACCATATATCGATGTCATTTGTTAACAATGTTGTCATACATGTTGACATGTTATAGAATGGACAAACACCATATATCGATGTCATTTGTTAACAATGTTGTCATACATGTTGACATGTTATAGAATGGACAAACACCATATATCGATGTCATTTGTTAACAATGTTGTCATACATGTTGACATGTTATAGAATGGACAAACACCATATATCGATGTCATTTGTTAACAATGTTGTCATACTCTTTGACATGTTATAGAATGGACAAACACCATATATCGATGTCATTTGTTAACAATGTTGTCATACATGTTGACATGTTATAGAATGGACAAACATCATATATCGATGTCATTTGTTAACAATGTTGTCATACTCTTTGACATGTTATAGAATGGACAAACACCATATATCGATGTCATGTGTTAACAATGTTGTCATACATGTTGACATGTTATAGAATGGACAAACATCATATATCGATGTCATTTGTTAACAATGTTGTCATACATGTTGACATGTTATAGAATGGACAAACACCATATATCGATGTCATTTGTTAACAATGTTGTCATACATGTTGACATGTTATAGAAAGGACGAACACCATATATCGATGTCATTTGTTAACAATGTTGTCATACATGTTGACATGTTATAGAATGGACAAACACCATATATCGATGTCATTTGTTAACAATGTTGTCATACATGTTGACATGTTATAGAATGGACAAACACCATATATCGATGTCATTTGTTAACAATGTTGTCATACATGTTGACATTTTATAGAATGGACAAACACCATATATCGATGTCATTTGTTAACAATGTTGTCATACATGTTGACATGTTATAGAATGGACAAACACCATATATCGATGTCATTTGTTAACAATGTTGTCATACATGTTGACATGTTATAGAATGGACAAACACCATATATCGATTTCATTTGTTAACAATGTTGTCATACATGTTGACATGTTATAGAATGGACAAACACCATATATCGATGTCATTTGTTAACAATGTTGTCATACTCTTTGACATGTTATAGAATGGACAAACACCATATATCGATGTCATTTGTTAACAATGTTGTCATACATGTTGACATGTTATAGAATGGACAAACATCATATATCGATGTCATTTGTTAACAATGTTGTCATACTCTTTGACATGTTATAGAATGGACAAACACCATATATCGATGTCATGTGTTAACAATGTTGTCATACATGTTGACATGTTATAGAATGGACAAACATCATATATCGATGTCATTTGTTAACAATGTTGTCATACATGTTGACATGTTATAGAATGGACAAACACCATATATCGATGTCATTTGTTAACAATGTTGTCATACATGTTGACATGTTATAGAATGGACAAACATCATATATCGATGTCATTTGTTAACAATGTTGTCATACTCTTTGACATGTTATAGAATGGACAAACACCATATATCGATGTCATGTGTTAACAATGTTGTCATACATGTTGACATGTTATAGAATGGACAAACATCATATATCGATGTCATTTGTTAACAATGTTGTCATACATGTTGACGTGTTATAGAATGGACAAACACCATATATCGATGTCATTTGTTAACAATGTTGTCATACATGTTGACATGTTATAGAATGGACAAACACCATATATCGATGTCATTTGTTAACAATGTTGTCATACATGTTGACATGTTATAGAATGGACAAACATCATATATCGATGTCATTTGTTAACAATGTTGTCATACTCTTTGACATGTTATAGAATGGACAAACACCATATATCGATGTCATTTGTTAACAATGTTGTCATACATGTTGACATGTTATAGAATGGACAAACATCATATATCGATGTCATTTGTTAACAATGTTGTCATACTCTTTGACATGTTATAGAATGGACAAACATCATATATCGATGTCATTTGTTAACAATGTTGTCATACATTTTGACGTGTTATAGAATGGACAAACACCATATATCGATGTCATTTGTTAACAATGTTGTCATACATGTTGACATATTATAGAATGGACAAACACCATATATCGATGTCATTTGTTAACAATGTTGTCATACATGTTGACATGTTATAGAATGGACAAACACCATATATCGATGTCATGGACAAACACTGTATTTTTATGTCATTTGTTAACAATGTCATGACATCATTTCGACACGCTATGGAATAAACAAAACATCAAACATGGATGCCAACTGTATGGCATGTCCTGCTACACTTGGAGTATGACATGTCATAGACAACGCGTCACATACCGATGTCATAGTTTAACATTGCTACACAATGTTTCCATGTTCATGGGTGGACACAGCACTTGGTACTCGCACCCTGTGATGAAACACTGTGATATCTAGAAGAGTTGATCTCATCTTAATGTGGGATTACAAATCTACGTGGGGGTGGAGCTGATAAAATTGAATTGTTCCCGAAAATTCTTGAGAAAAATATTTATTTAATAAATGCTTCAAATTGTTGAAAAGAAAGAAAGTACCTGCCACAAATATTACATTGTTGCAAGGTGTTTTCCTTTTGAAAAATCAGGCTCATAGTTTTAAATACTTGTTTTTTAGTTTTGTAGATGTAGCTGAAAAAATATATAATGTCGATAAAAAAAACCCAGCTCCGCCCCTACTCCCAAAATATCAAATGGTCGTCCCTTAACAAGACATATTAAACTGCAAGGGATACACGGCATTATCGCTTCTAATTTGACAAAAGTCCGATAGAAGTATCGGAGTATTTTCCTTAAATATGTGTTCACCAAATATATTACACTTTGCTCTTCTTTTTCTAAATTTCGAGCATTACAAATTTATATGTATATTTTTTGTTTCATAGTTTTTGTTTTATGAGTCAGGTTTGAATTGTTTGGTCTTTTTTAAAAATATGTATAACTATATACTTATTATTGTATTTACAGTTCATATGTATTAACGAGATTGTTTTACTCATTTATCATGTAGACTTGAACATGACATTCTCAAAACGATTAAAAAAATTATTATTTTTGGATAAATCGTTTGGAGGTGGTTTACGATAACAGATACACCACAAATTGATGTTAAAAGATGTCGCGATAAATTAAATCTTCTTTGCATAATATAACGACTTTAAAAAATCACTGAAAATAAAATATACATCGATTTCACAATTTCCACTTAAAACATTCATAGCAAGGCACCACTTGGTTCCTTTGTTTGTTGGCTCATTTTCACATCTTCCGATTTTTTTGTTTTGTTTTTGTTTCATAGTTTTCCTTTTTTATTGTCTTTTTATAGTTCCTTTTGCGCTTTTTTTTGTGTTGTTTTTTCTTCTCATTTTATACTTTTTGTATTTTGAGGATTGATAAATTTGCTTTGTTTCAATTATATATGAGAGCACATTAACTGTATATCCAATTTCATATGCAGCTATAATATTTTCAGTTTGATACATGACCGAGGACATGAGATATTTATAAAGTTTAGATCTGTCCTATCTATGAATTTGTTTTAAGAAAATGTAAACATGGTGACAACCATACATTACTCATGAGTTGGTTGAACGGTAGAGATACCATTTATTTATATTTGCTAAAAATGTCCTCTTACGTTAACAGGTAGGTTTTAAACTTAATCGGTAGCCTATCGGTAAAATTCATAATCAGTAAAACTGGTAAATCAATAGTTATATATAGTGTGGCTTTAGCTCATAAGCAAAGTTTTTATGAGCCAAATACCACTTCGAAAGATTTATACAGGTTATACGAAACACGTCTCCATCATTATTTCTTACATACTCCGTCTCCTTCATTATTTCTTATATACTCAATCTCCATCATTATTTCCTACATACTCCATCTCCATCATTATTTCCTACATACTCCTTCTCCATCATTATTTCCTACATACTCCATCTCCATCATTATTTCCCATATACTCCTTCTCCATCATTATTTCCCATATACTCCTTCTCCATCATTATTTCCTACATACTCCATCTCCATCATTATTTCCTACATACTCCTTCTCCATCATTATTTCTTATATACTCAATCTCCATCATTATTTCCTACATACTCCATCTCCATCATTATTTCCTACATACTCCATCTCCATCATTATTTCCTATATACTCCTTCTCCATCATTATTTCCTACATACTCCATCTCCATCATTATTTCCTATATACTCCTTCTCCATCATTATTTCCCATATACTCCTTCTCCATCATTATTTCCTACATACTCCATCTCCATCATTATTTCCTATATACTCCTTCTCCATCATTATTTCCTACATACTCCATCTCCATCATTATTTCCTATATACTCCTTCTCCATCATTATTTCCCATATACTCCTTCTCCATCATTATTTCCTATATACTCCTTCTCCATCATTATTTCCTACATACTCCATCTCCATCATTATTTCCTATATACTCCTTCTCCATCATTATTTCCCATATACTCCTTCTCCATCATTATTTCCCATATACTCCTTCTCCATCATTATTTCCTACATACTCCATCTCCATCATTATTTCCTACATACTCCATCTCCATCATTATTTCCTATATACTCCTTCTCCATCATTATTTCCTACATACTCCATCTCCATCATTATTTCCTACATACTCCATCTCCATCATTATTTCCCATATACTCCTTCTCCATCATTATTTCCTACATACTCCGTCTCCATCATTATTTCCTACATACTCCATCTCCATCATTATTTCCTACATACTCCATCTCCATCATTATTTCCTATATACTCCTTCTCCATCATTATTTCCTATATACTCCTTCTCCATCTTTATTTCCTATATACTCCTTCTCCATCATTATTTCTTATATACTCCATCTCCATCATTATTTCCCATATACTCCTTCTCCATCATTATTTCTTATATACTCCTTCTCCATCATTATTTCTTACATACTCCGTCTCCTTCATTATTTTTTCCATATTCCGATACTATAACGTACCATAACAAACGTGCCGAAAGCTTGCATATCGCTAATGTTACCTGACAGATTCCGGGGGTGGTAGTACCCACTCAGAATTCAGGTCAGGGTTTTCTTGTAAGTAATCCTGATAATTCCTTCCATTTATCCCAAATAGTAGATCACATGCATATATCAAATCTTGGTTCAACGGGGCTCCAGACAACGCTATGATGAATAGTTTATCTTTGGATAGTTCTGCTGCATATTCTATATATAGTAACTTCCCTGCTGGGATGCCATCGTCGTTAATGGTTGTATCTATGTCAGGAAATGTTTTCAATAAACCTCTTGTAACGTCAAAAATATCATCGTCAAAATCTGTGATAAAATGGATTTGCTTGTTTGCTAAATTGTGTCTCAAGTGTATTTGTGAGATAAACGCTCTCATGTCTCTCTTCCTGCAGGGTATTTTGTCTGCCTGAAGACTGTATATGAATGTCGATGAACAACATGTGTTGTATCTTTCTTGAATTTTGCCCACTTTATCGAATTTTTCATAATTAACATTATGCATTGCATTCCGAGGATGTACAAGGATGTGCTTATTTTCTGGAAGTAATGTGAGCTTGTCATTGTCTATTTGCATTTGTTTTGTCAATATGGGAAAAGGCAATAAACAGTTTGGTATATTTAGTCGACCAAGGCGAGGTTGGGCATATGTTAGTAACGTTATCGGAATTTGACCATACAGGCAGGATGAAATCACTGTGTTAATATGCCACATTACATGTGTAGACATTGCCGATGTTAGGTAAACTATTACAGTGACTGGTTTATAGGATTTAGTTAGAAAGTCCACGAAGTCAGCTACTTCAGACTTTCCATCGACGATACCTTCGTGAATATCCAAAACTGCAAAGGCATTCATTCTCTTAAGGTTCAATTTTAAACTAGCAATCTCATCCGAATCCAGGTCATTTTCTTCACATACTATTATAACATTGTTATTACGAATCTTGTTAGGTTCTTTGTAACGTGTACGTTTAGGATTCTTGCAGTCCTTCATAGGGTCCAATATTGAATTTGTATTTTGATCTTTGTATTTTAAAGATAATGGAAACGTGTTCTCCACATTTGCTTTCACCTCGTCCACTAAAGCCCTTTTCTGTAATGTGATAGGTATAGTTATACACATTTGTGTAAAGTGGCGTTTGTAAGTGGTAATCTTATTATTTGATAACCTGTTTTTTAAACAGTTAAGTTTTTGTCTTATTTTATGATGGTAAATATTTCTCATTTTACACTGCGTACCATTCTTTGGAATCAATTTACACATCTGACTATTTAAACAGCTCTGGATGTTCTTAGTAATCCATTTCACGTTGTAACTGTGTGGTGACAACCCACGTATCTGTACCTCATGAATTATACATAGCTTCCTTCCATAATTTCTATGCATACAAACTAATCCTAACACTATGGTTCCTGGAAACGTTCGTGCCAAATATAACTCGCATTTTCCGCTCGTGGTAAGGAACGGATCAAATGAAAGCTTTTCTTTAATTTCAGACCTGTGATGAACTCCCTTTCCCTCTCTCTCATGACTCGCCAAGATGAGTGTTTCCAGGAGGCAGGCCAACTGACTATGTGTTCTATCTTCATTACTATAACTTCTGTTCCATCTGAGAATGCCCCTAGTGTTAGCAACACTAGGAGCATTAATGGTCTCTTGTGACCCCGTTGTTGCGTCCCATAATTGTTGGCTGAATGCGAAAAAAACACTAATATTAATAACTGGTTCCCCCGCCGGGATTTCGGGTTATTAGGACGCCAGATGCAAATGCAGGTCGTAAGAGTCGACTAAATGGAGAGGTGACTTGAATGTTTGGAATAGCATCAGTAAATTTATTATTTAGGTTCAGATCGACTGCAAAAATACTACTCAAACGAAGTTAAGGAACATACAATTCTTACATGTGACTATCGAGTTAATCTGCCATGCAATGAGATATTAGCTGTAACCATTTGCAAGAATTGGATGTTCCTGAACTTCTTTTGAGTAGTATAGTTTAAAATATAATAATCTTCAAATATAAATCGATAAATGCAGTCCGTGACACCCCCATGATCCCGCTATCTGACGGACTTTGAGTACATGTCATGATACAATAGACGCGCGTGGAATAAGTGGTAAGCACACGTGACATCATGTGGCGCTATAAATAGGCAAAGTGTAGATGATGTTCGTTGGATCTTCATGAGTTATATCATACTGCTGTGAGGCGCCAGGCATTAATTAGTAACTCTTTTATGCACATTGTGTGAGTGGCGGTGCTGCCTGTAGACCAGGAATGCTCACACATTTCCCAAACACATGTGTCGTCAATGGTTTTCAGTGGTCCATTCATATAATGTTCACCGCTATTTTGACCTCCATGCCAAAGTTTAATCTGTGTCGGTGGATATTCTAGACTGGTTATCCTCTTGCTTTAACACTTAATATTTCCTGTATGCATTATTGTTACAATATCACATGACAATATGTGGCGCTATACTTAGTGAGTGAGCGAGTATTGGTTTGAGCAATATTCCAGCAAAATCACGGTGTGGGACACCAGAAGTGGGCTTCACACATTGTACCCATGTTGGGAATCGAACACGTGTCCTGGACGTGACGAGCGAGCGCTTTGACCAATAGGCTACCCCACCGCCCCACCTTAACAACTTAATTGCTACAACATATATAACATGAATATCCCTAAAACAAACAGACGTTTATACTTACACATTGTGTATATTCGGTCTTTTGTACTTCATGTTAGGAAGAATGTTGTGCTGTACGGGCCCTTATATACCGTCAACAGAAGCACAAACCACGCCCACAATGTCCATATTTGATCATGCATACATCCCAAATCACATGCTCCGTCCTGCACATGGCCTCGTGTCATCTATACATAAATCATCCATGCACAGATATCCATGTTTACAGCTACCCGGGTGTTGTTCTTGACGACATGCTGATACATCGAGGCCTTGAACACGTTCTGTGTAAGCGATTTTGAAAGAAGGGACACGATTATATAACCATATTATCCTGCGGACAAACCACGACGTAGGCTTCTATAAGGCAGGGGTAACTAAACTGGAGCATGTGTTGAAGTCAAAGGAGATTATATTGAAAAATAATGTGTGCACAAACAAAATTCAACGTGGTGCTGAATGTCACACCGATATGGTTGTGCTGTGGTGCTGAATGTCACACTAATACCGTGGTGCTGAATGTCACACTCATACCGTGGTACTGAACGCACACTAATACGGTGGTGCTGAATGTCCCACTAATACCGTGGTGCTGAATGTCACACTAATACCGTGGTGCTGAATGTCACACTAATACCGTGGTACTGAACGCACACTAATACGGTGGTGCTGAATGTCCCACTAATACCGTGGTGCTGAATGTCACACTAAAACCGTGGTGCTGAATGTCCCACTAATACGGTGGTGCTGAATGTCCCACTAATACCGTGGTGCTGAATGTCACACTAATACCGTGGTGCTGAATGTCCGACTAATACCGTGGTGCTGAATGTCATACTAATACCGTGGTACTGAACGCACACTAATACGGTGGTGCTGAATGTCCCACTAATACCGTGGTGCTGAATGTCACACTAAAACCGTGGTGCTGAATGTCCGACTAATACGGTTGTTGTGAATGTCCCACTAATACGGTGGTGCTGAATGTCCCACTAATACCGTGGTGCTGAATGTCCGACTAATACCGTGGTGCTGAATGTCACACTAATACCGTGGTGCTGAATGTCCCACTAATACCGTGGTGCTGAATGTCACACTAATACCGTGGTGCTAAATGTCACACTTATACCGTGGTGCTGAATGTCACACTAATACCGTGGTGCTGAATGTCACACTTATACCGTGGTGATGAATGTCACACTAATACTGTGGTGCTGAATGTCACACTAATACCGTGGTGCTGAATGTCACACTAATACCGTGGTGCTGAATGTCACACTAATACCGTGGTGCTGAATGTCACACTTATACCGTTGTACTGAATGTCACACTAATACGGTGGTGCTGAATGTCACACTAATACGGTGGTACTGAATGTCACACTAATACGGTGGTGCTGAATGTCACACTAATACTGTTGTACCGAATGTCACACTAATACGGTGGTACTGATGGTCACACTAATACGGTTGTACTGAATGTCACACTAATACGGTTGTACTGTACCATGAATATGTTTACATGATATAAGAATAATGTCGCTACATTATTGACATATGAATGATGTATATATGTACGCCCACAGGTTTCTGTTTGGTGACAATGTCACGATACTAGATAGATAATGAACATTAGGCAACTATATAGATAACACTGTCGCTGCCTGATTGTGGAATGTCTGTCTGGCAACACAACCCTGTGCGGGGTTCATACACAGTGTCATTTCAACTGATGGTGGTCAAATGAAATAAGCGTTTACGTCGCGTTCAAGATTTTTGCACTTACATAGCAACGTACATGCACATTGTGCTGGGCCACTGAGGTACCGTGCGGCAGTTTAACACAGACACCCCACTCACACACAGTAGTCATCGGACCTCATGCATTACAATTAATTACAACATTGAAACCCCGTGTGGATTCCAGGTTAGAATAGGTCCCCAGCAACACATGCTGGTCGTGGGGATTCCAGGTTACACGTCCCCAGCAACACATGCTGGTCGAGGGGATTCCAGGTTAGATTAGGTCCCCAGCAACACATGCTGGTCGTGGGGATTCCAGGTTAGATTAGGTCCCCAGCAACACATGCTGGTCGTGGGGATTCCAGGTTAGAATAGATCCCCAGCAACACATGCTGGTCGTGGGGATTCCAGGTTAGAATAGGTCCCCAGCAACACATGCTGGTCGTGGGGATTCCAGGTTAGAATAGATCCCCAGCAACACATGCTGGTCGTGGGGATTCCAGGTTAGAATAGATCCCCAGCAACACATGCTGGTCGTGGGGATTCCAGGTTAGAATAGGTCCCCAGCAACACATGCTGGTCGTGGGGATTCCAGGTTAGAATAGGTCCCCAGCAACACATGCTGGTCGTGGAGATTCCAGGTTAGAATAGGTCCCCAGCAACACATGCTGGTCGTGGGGATTCCAGGTTAGAATAGGTCCCCAGCAACACATGCTGGTCGTGGGGATTCCAGGTTATAAAAGGTCTGCACATCCACAGTTGATCTGAAGTAGTGCTCAAAGTGTCGTTAACCATACCCACTCACCCTTACACACGTTCTGCACGTCCACAGTTGATCTGATCATGGAATAAAGTATATTTAATGCAACGTGATAATGTGGTCACTTCTCAATATTTTTACAGATTATATCTTTATCTATATTTATATCTGTATAATCCCACAACTGTAAACAATATATAAAAATATGTGTTGGGTAATTTATCTTTATGACAACAAAAAGGCAATAAAGAAACAATTCATGTATGATCTGATACACAGCACAAACAGGACATATAACACTGTTTTCTTCAGCGACTCTTATTCAAACGTCGTTTGATCAGAGTAACCAAAATTAGCGCCTTAGAAAAAGACTATCACAAGGTTTTATGGTGGACATGTGAAGGGTATTTCTAAATTTGGCGTATCAGCAACAAAATTGATGTCCGATGCAATTCCCTATTTTTACTTGTGCTATATGTTCCCATGGTTTTTTTTTCATGTGAACAGTTGACTTGCTTTTACATGTGTGTGTTGACGGGTACCACCGGTTGGGCAGGGTACGCTTATCGTTTCGTCAATACCTTGTATCATCACCTTTTTTTTAATAGTGATTAACATATATTTATTATATAGTCTAAATCGTGCCACGGACTCTGTTTTGAGCAGAAATTTCTAATGTTCCGTTCCATTCTGATATTTATTACGATGAAATGGAGATGGATGCGCTGAATAATCGTTGATAATATATTAAACGTGTTCACCCATTACTGTAACTGTGTCTTTGGGTTTATATGTGGAGGATTTATAGCATTTGGTGCACAGAGAACAAGCTGCTATTTGATATTCGTCCGTGGAATGTGTTTTCCTCACTTATACGCAAGGTATTTGTTTGTATGTTTTTGTGCTTTTTGTTTTGTTGGTGTTTTACGCTGTAATGAGTATTCGAACTCAACTCGGGGCAGAAAGTATACTTGTTTTCATGTCATTGAAAACTGAAAGAACTGTTGTTACATTTTGTTACGTCTATAAAACCATCACTCATTCCTGCAACGGTTTGTAGTGGCTGGGCAATTTTGAGTATAAATATATTGGTTGAGTGAAGACTGGAGGTAAGAAATGAATTTGCAACCACGTGACTCCAACCATGTTTGAAATATGCATTTGTGCACATTTATTCACCTTCAAAGATAATATGTCAAGGATACTCATCAGCAGTTGTGTATCATGCAAATAAATGTTTCAATATTTTACATCAAATTATAATTTACAAAATAAAACCATGTCGAATTATTCTTTAAATCTGAGTAATGACTAACACCAGTATAGTTCCTCTTTTGGATATAATATCGATATGTTAAGATATTTTCATTTGATAATCAGAAAAAGTAAAATCAACTGAGAGGTATAGTTTCATTTGCTAAAAGCGACGTAAAATCATACCCACTTACATATGTCACAGAGAGCCTAGATTAGACAAACCAATGGTTGATAGCACGATCAACATCGACCACGTATCCGCACAATCAGACAGACAGACAGACAGACAGACAGACAGACATATATTTCGGTATTTAAGGTCGCATGGCCCATTCAAACAGTTCACAAGTCAGTTTCACTTATTTAGTCACGTGATATACATGATATACAAACAGTATCTGACCGAGAATATGTTTCAACAAAACAGCAGAAATGTTGGCTTTTAATGTATTGGTATTATCACACCCAATGTCCATTGTTCGGGATAAATACAAGATGACAGCACAAGATTATACATGTTTCTCACATTTCTAGACACTGTAGAGGAGCATACTCAAAAACCCTAACTGATAGACCCACAATAACCCGGAGCCTTACCAGAGTGCATACTGGACATAGCGTCCTGAATTTCTAAACGAGAAGTGTCTTTATTATGATCACTTTCAATGTCATCAGTACTGTTGAGGAAATCGTCGCTTATTGACGAAATGAAATCATTCACTGAAATATCAAAATCAAGTTCAGTTACATTTGTATTAGAACCACTGAATAACTGACTGAAATGTTTCAGCCATGTAATTTCAGTTATTGTAACGTTACTGGTACTCAGCGTAGTTTGGATCTTAATGACGACCAAAACAGTTTACAATTGTTACGCTGAAGGGCATTTTTCAATTTCTGAATGAAATCGATGATTTCTGACACCAAAGGTCCTCATAGTTGTTTTTTTTGCCTGTGTACAAAGGTATGCACAGATTGTGTTTGTTCGTTGTTTAACGCTACACTCAGCTATATGACGGCGGTCTGTAAATAATCCAGTCTGGACCAGACAATCCAGTGATAGACATCATGAGCATCGATCCACGCAATTGGAATACGATGACATACATCAACTAAGTCAGTGAGCCTGATCACCCGATCCCCTTAGTCGCTTCTTACGACAAGCATAGTTGTCTTTTACGGCAAGAATGGGTTGCTGAAGACCTGTTCTACCCCAGATCTTCAAGGTCTGCAGACCATCTGTTTTACTGGTTGATGTAAAATATGTCTTCCTTCTTTGCTCCTCCTTGCCTAAATAAAGACAAAATAGCAGCTATGTAAACAATACATCTACATCAAGCTAATACCTGTACACAATCACTGCTTCAAAATGTATCGAAATGGGAATGTACAACTGTTTCGATTTTTTTCCAGTAAAACTTCTAACGGTGACATTCAATTTTGTAAACCTATTTTTAGAGAAGAGCTCGTCCTATCGTTGTTCCTGTCTTTGACCTAGATTATATAACAGATATCCTACTTTCAGTTGCCTCTTTTCTAGGTATTAACGTTTCGTTGAAATACTTGGAAATGTTTCGATTATAACTCCCCACATTCATTTCTAATTTTGTAAGAACCCTCTGTCGACAGTACATAACACCTTGCCCCATTGTTGTTCATGTCTATCTATCTATCTATCTATCTATCTATCTATCTATCTATCATATATATATATATATATATCAATATCAATATCTTTATCTATATCTATCTATATCTATCTATCTATCTATCTATCTATCTATATATATATATATTTATATATATATATATATTATAGATCCTACTGTTTGCCTGCTCTTTTCTAGGTATAGTAAATCATTGCTTTTTCATTGGAATACATGAGTGAAAGCATTGTTTAGAAGAAACTGAACAGATATATGAAAAGAAGAATATATAGCCAATTCCCTTCCACTGATTTACCCATCCGAATTATAAAGAAAAACAGCAGTGAACCGCCTCATCCGTCTCAGATTGAGATCTATGCATAAAGATACAAGAGTAACAAAGCACTTTCCACAAGGCTGTGTGACTTCAACATTCCAATAGTTAGCTTTCCCTTCTCAATTATTACATAAACAGTTATAAGTCGGAAAATGAGTCCAAATATTTGATGCCATGGATCTCTGTAATAAATATGAATGGAAGCTTGTGAGTTCTATTTTTGTGTTCTAAACTGTAGTTTTAAAATGTGACTTTTCACACATCAGGGGAGGACGATTGGAATTTTACGGGGATGGGTTTTTGTGGTAGAGTCATGCTCATTTTTAGGGCCTGAGATTTTCTTCTTCTTAAAAGATAGCTGAGATTTCTTTTACGTCACATTTCAAATTCAACACAAGGAGAGAATGTCAAAAGTTTCTCACTGTTCCCTAAAACATAAAACTGCACTGTACTGAAAATAGTGTAATAAAGCATTTTATAATGAAAGACTAGTTTTTACAATGCCATGTGATGTAAAACCCAGTGTAACGTTTTCTTCAAACTGACAGAAATTCAAGTAATGCACGTGCTACAGTACCCTGATCAGTGGAACTGGAGTTTGAAGTGAAACGTTTGGTGCACTTGCAGCATGCCTGCCTACAAAGACATGGATATAAAAGGAATGTTGTAGAGTTCATTCACACCCAAACTGTTGAACAGTGACAAGTAGCATGCTAAGAATAACAGTAAAACGGAGAGAACAAGGAGCAAGGCATGACCACGTCACAAGGAGTTTTGGCTGTGGGCAAATGACAGTCACAAGGCTGATGTTCCGTCAGAGGCACACTGGACAGACAGGCCTAGGAGTGGCAGACCTCCAGTTTCCACCACCCAAGAAAATGCTACATACGTATTCTCCATTTGAGGAATCGTATCATAACGGTGATGTCATCAGTTTTGACAGTCATCCTGTTAGTCACAGGAGACCCTGTTCGCACTGTCCAAGGGCGTGTAGTTCAGGGTGGACGACAGAAGAAGTTTACGAAGACTGCAGCCATGTATATTGTTGATAGGGAATGATGGTCGAATAGGTACATGTTGATGAGGTACAGGTAACAGTTATCACACCTGAACCGAGTGGCCAATGTTCCCAGTGCAGAGACCCGCTCTGTCTATTACACCTATTAAAGAAACCAATTGAAGTGGTTTGCACTTAACAATAACCCTGAACGTCGTGGACCTTTTGTTCTCAAAAGCGTTTTAAAATAGTGACAATATTGAAAGTACAAATATACAGTAAAATGCATTTCTCCAATCACAAAGATCAGCTTTTGACTCAGATTGGTCAGAATTAGAACATACTCACATACATCATCACAAAATAGAAACATATGACGCATTGGGCTCCGTTTTTGTAGGCAAAGCGCAGCCATTAGGCAGGAATGTTCCAGGCAGGTGCAAGAAATGTTAGAAGTCCAGTTCTCCTGAACTCTCTCATTGACATGGTTAAAAAACGTAATAACTCACCCCCATTTGTCGTAGATTATAGACGCCTCAATTCAGTTACCAAGCCTATGTGTTCCCCTGTATCATGTTTTGAAGATATTATTGATGCCGTAGGCGAAAGCAATGCGTATTTATTTAGTGTGGTTGATTGTGCTAGTGGCTTTTGGCAAATACCCCACCATCCAGATACAAAACACAAGTTGGCCTTCATTACACCCGATGGTGTTTTTTAATGGAATCGCCTCCCTTTCGATTTAAAAAATGCTCCTATGGCATTTCAGCAAAGTATTCAGGGGCACTAAAAGAAATGAGTGAGTGAGTGAGTGAGTGAGTTGGGTTTAACGCTGCTTTTTAACAGTATTCCAGTTATATCGCAGCATGTCAGCTTAATGTGGGAGGAAAGCCCGATGCAGGTCTCAGACGTTTACCATTTCAGTGAAACCCAAGAGCATGGGTATGGTGCTGACAAACCTAGAAACATAATTAGGGCGAACCGGGATTCGAACCCACAATCATAGGTTTCTGGCGTGCCCAAGGGACGCAACTCTGCACAGCGAATCGCGGCGCCTTAGACGACTGGGCCACCCGTGCCCCCTAAAAGAAATGAATTGGCGTTATATACTAATGTTTGTAGATGACATCATAGTATTTTCAAAAACGTGTTTGGAACGTTTGAATCACAACAAGGCAGTTTCCCAAAAGATCAGAGAAGCAGGAGACACTCTAAAACCAAGCAAATGTAAATTTGCAAAAAACACCAAGTCACCCATCCATGTCAATCCTTCAAAAATAGATTCAGTCACACAGATATACCTCCTATAAATGTCCATGACATGCCTCATTTCTTAGGTATAGCCTCGTATTATCGCAAATTTGTAGCAAACGTTTCTGGCATTGCCGCCCCTCTATACAACCTTCTGGTAAAAGACGTGTCTTTCGAATGGTCCAAACATTACCAACAGGCATTCGAAAAGCTAAAGTAAGCCCTTACAACAGCTCCCATCCTTGCATATCCTGACCAGAACAAACTTTCATCCTCACAACTGATGCATCACACACTGCAATAGGGTTTAGACCAACTTGATTCGCATGGCATAATTTGTAATGATGTTGTTCATTATTTTTTTAAAATAAGGGTGAATGATGTTCAATGGTCATTTCCCATCACAGTCAACAACTGTTTCAGTCATATCACTGCATGACAAGTTGAGTCAATAACAATGTTCAAGGATACAACACAGTGACTTGCATAATACGGCCTCTTGAAATGGAAGATTTGAAATGACTATTAATAAATAAGGGATACTGTCTCGCGTGGTCATGTCTCTCTGTAAAAATATTATGGCTTTGCACATGAAATACTCTGTATTGATATAGCAGTCGATGTAGGCTAAAATGGTTTTTTTAAGCAGATGGAGGCTGAAGTTTTTATTTACACAAAATTACGCCCCCCCCCCCCCCCCCCCCCCCCCCATCCCATGCACATCAAATGATCCACCCCTAAGGGCCCGTATTGCATGGCTTGTCACGTTTGATGATTGTTATTAGAACACATCAGTGTCATTGCAATCTAACTGCTTAACTACTGATTTACTACAACATATGTCATGTCTATTATTAAACTAAGCAGACTTTTGTATTATCACTTACTTGGGTTGGACTACGTCATTGTTCATATCATAAAGTCCATATTTGGTCATTCATATGTCCCATATCATATGCTACGTGTTATAGATGACCTGGTGTTATAAATACATCAAGATATCAATGTTTACACCGACACAGTCGTTTTTATTGTTGACGACGTATTGATACATTGAGGTGTACGAACACAGGCCTTGACACGTTCTTTGTAGACGAGCTATTTATGTACAGGTGCATGGAAATCATCTCCCATAATGCGTGCAACGTTTTGTAGTCTGTATTTTCGTTATTGAAACGCAGCCCATCGAAGATCAGGGGTAGAATAGGTCTTCAGCAACCCATGTTTGCCGTAAAAGGCGACTATACTTGAAGGAGGCAACTGACAGGATCGGGTGGCCAGTTTCACTGATTTAGTTTATGCATGTCATCGTATCCCAATTGCGTGGCTCGATGCTCATGATGTCAATCACTGGATTGTCTGGTCCAGACTCGATTATTTACAAACCACCGTCATATAGCTTGAATATTGCTGAGTGCGGCGTTAAACAACAAACAAACAAACAAACATATTGTTTGCAACTCAAAGATTATCTGCAGTAATATACGAGGGTTCTTAGTTCTTAGCCTCCTATATATTGCTTTCTGTAAAGAAAGGTTTCAACACGTGCACGTGCATCTTCAAAAACGTCATCAAAGACATAACACCAAGCAACAGACTTATAACTGTATTGCTTTCGAGATGTCAGCATGAGACATTGACAGGGGGCAGATAAACTGAGGAAAGATGGAAAAAGCTGAGAATTACATGTGTGTGTGTGTGTGTGTGTGTGTGAGTGTGTGTGTGTAGGTATAGGTGTTTGTGTGTAATGCTGTATATTATATATATTTTTGTTCATGAAGAAGGATGTCATTCAACACCTTCGTGTCATCGAGACCTAAGCAGTTAGATAGAAATAGCTCAATACTGAAACATATCTCTGCTGTGACATATTGTTCCCTACATCACGAGTTCAACCTAAATACTCAGCGATACGTGGCACGACCACAGGGTCAGGTGACATTTTCCTTGTGTACAGAGGCATATGCAGGGTCGATTACACCCCCCCCCCCGGAATGAACTTAAATTACCTGTCAGAATCAATAGGTCAGGCCGACTGCAACATGACGCTCCTTACACCATGCAGAGGGGATAGGCTTATTGTCCATAAATCAGAACAAACTGATCCATTGAATGTATCACTTGAAAAATGTATTTATTTCAGTTTTCCTCATTTTGTAGGATAAACAATCAACCAAAAAAACAAGTATAACCAAAACATTTCATACACTTAAATACTAGATCGTCGTTGACAGACAAAACATGTCCCGTTTAATTCAACATTTTTAAAGGACTTGAACATTCAATAGCTATAGTCGTTTCTCTACATTGTATTAGTAAGGTGTCGAAATCCATGTTAGATCTGCTTGCAATAACCCGCAGGGCATACTCGTACTCCGGTGACCTCTCGCGAGACGGAGTGATCACGAACAATTGATCTTTATATAATTTTTTTGCATATTCGAAATACAGTAAATTCCCACCAGATACATCGTCATCATTGACTGTGATCTCGGCTGTGGGAATTTCTAATAAAGTGGATTTCTTAATTAAATCAGCCTTTTCAATATCGTCTGAAATTATACGAATGGGTTTTGATGTCTTAAATTTACAACTCACGCCATTTGTCAAACTTTTATCGGACAGTTTGACATTTGGGCGATCAGCAACCAAAAGCGTTGTAGAATTTGTATTTATCTGAGGAATATTTTCATTTGAAACTGTCGAAATAAAATTACATATAAAAATTGGAAATGGCCGGAATAGCTCTGGTATTTTGCCAGTGTTTTGTTTTGAATCAATTAATGTTAAGATATTGTCGCGACCAGAACATTCTGAAACAACTAAGTTTAACATGTATTTCAACTTGTCTGACGCCTTATCCCTTGTCGGAATAAATATAAAATATTCTGATGTCAAAAGACACTCATCAATATTTGCAATTTCTGTCTTACCAGGATCAAATGAATGATAAATATCAATGACATTGCAATTTGCATCACTTCTTAGCCATTCACGAAAAAAGCTAATTATATTTTTATCAATATCATCTTCTTCAAATAATAAACACACTTGTTTTGATTTATGTTGCCTTTTAGACAATAATATATTTTTTAAATGATAAGGCAGACATACATTATCTGCCACTGTGTTTATATTAAACAACACTCTCTCTGGACCCTTTGTGGACAACCCAGGATCGAAACAAAAAGTAAATAGTATTTCATCCTTCTTTGCATGCCATAAAAGACAATATAGCTGCATTGGTAGTAATCCACTGTATATTTGTTGTCTACAAAATGATGAGGGTTGTATTTCATTCTGTATTATTAATTTCAAATGACCAACTTCAATCATTTTCTTTCCATCTTTATAATATAAACATGCTATTTGCAAACCACCATCCAGTACCCCAACACGTGTACCTAATTTCACAATATATGATTCCAACAAGTTCATTACATAGTCACGTGTCTCTTCGGGCACAACATATCTGTAGTGTTGTCTTCCTCGAATGTTTTGTAGTCCACTTGGCTGCATATCAAGTGTCTCTTTGGGCACAATTAATCCATAGTATTGTTCTCGTCGGAAATGTTGTAGTCCACTTGGCTGCATATCAAGTGTCTCTTTGGGCACAATTAATCCATAGTATTGTTCTCGTCGGAAATGTTGTAGTCCACTTGGCTGTATATCAAGTGTCTCTTTGGGCACAATTAATCCATAGTATTGTTCTCGTCGGAAATGTTGTAGTCCACTTGGCTGTATATCAAGTGTCTCTTTGGGCACAATTAATCCATAGTATTGTTCTCGTCGGAAATGTTGTAGTCCACTTGGCTGCATATCAAGTGTCTCTTTGGGCACAATTAATCCATAGTATTGTTCTCGTCGGAAATGTTGTAGTCCACTTGGCTGTATATCAAGTGTCTCTTTGGGCACAATTAATCCATAGTATTGTTCTCGTCGGAAATGTTGTAGTCCACTTGGCTGCATATCAAGTGTCTCTTTGGGCACAATTAATCCATAGTATTGTTCTCGTCGGAAATGTTGTAGTCCACTTGGCTGTATATCAAGTGTCTCTTTGGGCACAATTTATCTGTAGTGTTGGTGCACTTATTGAGGTAAAGTATATCTTTCCCCTTTGCTTCTTCTTGCCTAAATAAAGACAAAATAGAAGCTATGGTATGAATACATCTTCATCAAGTTAATACCTGTACAAAATAACAGATTCAAAATGTGTCGAAAAAGGAATTACAACTGTTTCGAAATGTTTCCAGTAAAACATACAAGGGTGATATTAAAGGTTGTAAAATGAACGTAAGCAACGCCTAAAAAGACAAAATAGCAGCTATGTTATCAATACATCTACATCAACTTCATACCTGAACACCATCACTGCTTCAAAATGTATCTAAACTGTTTCGAAATGTTTCTAGTAAAACATTCAACGGTGATATTTAATTTTGTAAACGTACACAACGCAGTTAGATAACACCTGGTCGTATTGTTGTTCGTGTCTTTCACCTAGATTATATAATAGATATCCTACTTTCTGTTTCCTCTTTTCTAGGTATTGACTTATTTACATTTCATTGAAATACTTGCATGAATAGAGCTCAAGTGAAACTAAACATATATATTTCACAATATAGACATTAAAATTGTCCAATAAATATACATTAATTAAAGGGAGAAAATGAAGGCATAAGAACCTAGTGTTAGATGTCAAGTTGACTGCAAATGGCGTCCAATATTGTTTGATTTAGTCATTCTGGAATGTGTTAAACATGAGTATGAAGAGTATCAGAGGACGAAACACATAATTCTTTCCCATGTTAGTTGAGTGTACAGCAACTCCCATACCAAATAGAATCATTTACCGTTGACATTAACAAGTCCGGGAATTTCGTCATTGCTGACATATAGCATGATTCATAATTTGAACACTAATCGTTTAATTTGAATATCATAATGATACAAATGAAATGATAAGTCGTTTTATAAAAGAAGCATGAACTTACAGAATCTGGGATTTAGGTTCAGGAGTCGAAAATCGAAATGTGTAGTTCGCCGGACAACAATGGCAGCCGTCCAACTCATATACACGGAGAAAAGGGACGTATGTTGGTGCACATGCGCACTTCCTTGTGGAAAATATGACGGCATAATTATTTTTACATTAGATATGTCTGTTAGATCCTGTGAGCACAATTAATACTTTAAGCTTACGTATTTAAATATTAATATTAGATAACATCATTGTTGTAATTTTGCACCAATGCATTACTGCATGAGTCGCCATTTTGTGTGGAACGCCTACAAGGTGTAATGAAAAGCTCGTCATGGTTCATTCTGTGGTCACGTATATGAAGCAGCAACGTAGATACAAACAGAGTTAGTAAGCTGGCTTTCAGCCCGCTTTGAACAATATTTCAGTTGTTGAACTGTGTTGGAAGACGGTCCCAAGTTTCTTGAGTTAAAATAACAAATGCTTTCTGATAAATGTCCCATCACAAAATAGAAATTTACTATTTATTTTCAATTTAAATGATATATGCTCCATACATACGCGTATCGTTTTGTATACCCCACTCTTCGTTACATAAAGGTTAACAGGTAGTAATGCATATTCACATAGTGAGTGAGTGAGTGAGCATGGTTCTCCGCTGCTTTTAACAATATTCCAGCAATATCACGGAGGGGACCCATATGGGGTTTCGAACCCGGGCCATCGGCTAGAGGAGCGTACACTCTGACCAAAGGATTACCCCCTGAATGTGCCCTTTGAAGATTGATTATGTTGAAGAAAAACAACAAAAATTATCGACACGAGTCAGCCTGCATATCGGGCACCAACATAAATCTTTCGAATTGTGTCTCCTACATTTCTATTCTGAAAATCCTTTGTATTTAAGTTGGGATATTAGAGAAAACATACCATCCATCTAGTAGCCTCGCATGCAGTCTAAGAAGGTACAGAGGAAATCGTTGGATTCGACTGCAATGCCATGTGACTGTACAACAACAAGAACAAGACTATACTCTGGGTCAGTGAAAGAAATTAAACGACTCCAGCGACTTGTTCAGATGGGTGGGACTACAAATAGCAAGACCCCACAGTATCGACTAGAGATGATAGTTCTTGATATTGCGTTGACACGTTTGGCGTAACCATAAACAGGCTTTAAATCAAAGACCACACGTTTTTTAAATTGAAATTTGCAAACAAAGGAATTGATGCCTTAAATTTAAGTAACATTCTCTGACAAAAATCAGTTTTCCCTACAGTGTCCTACATTATTTAAAATTTCAGGAAACACTAACAACTTCATTTTCCTATACGAAAACCATTTCATTCAAGTTGTTCAATGCTAGGAACGTGTTGTAGAACGTGGACTTGGCAGATAACGATGTTAATTCCTGCAGGTGAGGCTGCCAAGATTCATCGTACTCCTATCAATGTGTACGTCGCATAATTCCAGGTGACCTCTCTATTGTCAACAATTACACATTTCGTAAGTTACTTGTATTCAAGTATGGACCAAAATATCGCGAGCAGCCTCCGACCAACTGGGATCACAACATCAAAATCATTATGGATGGTGTCGAAGCTTATGCCAAAAATTGTTCAAACAAGATAAACCTGTTGAATGTCTTTCAGAGTGGGTCACGTCTGTGTGTGATGTTGTCATCGGTAGAATGCACAAAGTGGAAAAGAGACACAGTTGGAGTAAACCCATCTGTACCAGCCAACTGTCATCCAAAGTCTGCCCTATGTAAAACGTGTGTAGATGTTCCCACTGTCGGGGCATCAATTAGCATAACCATTATATGTAAGCATCACTACATTAATGGCTTTATCGAAGAACATGGAATAAGTGACATATCAAATAATGTTTGTTGGTTGTTAAACGTCGCACCGAGCAATATACAGCTATATGACGGCGGTTTGTAAATAATCGAGTCTGGACCAGACAATCCGGAGATTAACATCATGAGGATCGATGCACGCAATTGGGATCAACTTTCGACTTGAAGCTAAAACCTGAGGACGTGCCCATTACTTTTTTTTGTACTGGATTCCAAAGCTCCATAAATTCCCACTCAAAAAGAGAGAGAGATATTGCTGGGTCCTGCAGATGGGGTATAGGTCAAAACGGCCAAAGTACGTAACGGCCATGGATGTCAATGTCAAAACGGCCAAAACATATAAAATAATTAAGCCATGGAAAACTAAAAACGGTCAAAGAAAACAAATGTTTTAATGACATAACCAGGACAATATTTATCTTAATTTAGAGCCACACTCCTCTTTAACTATCAGTGGCCATCGCATTGACCAACACAAAGTTCTATTGCTGGTGCCCCACACCGTGATATTGCTGGAATATTGCTAAAAAGGGCGTAAAACCATACTCACTCATTCACTCTATACATTGAACCACGTTGGCCTATACACTTTGGCGCACATTTACGGCAACTTAGGGAGTATGATATCTCTGTCTTTGTACAGGTTCCAGACGGTGAACATTTCATTTTGATCTTTAGTCGACGTCTTCTTTAGGTACCGCCATAGGGTTCTGCCTGGATTGGCAGGAGAGAAGCTTCTGTGTGGAGCGCTGGGATCAATATGTAGAGGCCTTGTTGTTGCTCTGTTCTTCTCGAATTCATCCCACGATGCCCACCTGAAGGAACAATCATCAGAATAATTATACACGAACTCTCACTCTCACTAACACTCTCCACAGGATCGTCACTATATGGCTGAAATATTGCCGATGTGACGTAAAATGTTAACTCACTCACTCTCCACAGGACTATGACAATAGGGATGACTTGCTGGTGGACTGAAGTCCCCGAGATTCATCATAAGCTCAGTATTTAGGAGCCAGCGACAAAAGTAATCTTTTGGCCGAGACATTAAAGCAACCCCCCTTTTCCCTCCCTTAGGACAGGATATGCTTACCCTTTCCGCGAACACCTTGTGTCAACACTGATTTTCAGTGGTCCATTCATATAATTTTCACAGCTATTTTGCCCTTTATGCCAAATGGAATCTGTTTCGGGGGACAATCTAGAGTGGTTATTCTCTTGCTCTGAGGGGGCACGGGTGGCTCAGTCATCTAAGGCGCCGTGATTCGCTGTGCAGAGTTGCGTCCCTTGGGCGCGCCAGAAACCTATGATTATGGGTTCGAATCCCGGTTCGCCCCGATTATGTTTCTAAGTTTGTCAGCACCATACCCGTGCTCGTGGGTTTCACCGAAGTGGTAAACGTCTAAGACCTGCATCACTTCGGGCTTTCCTCCCACATTAAGCTGACACGCCGCGATATAACTAAAAAAATACTGTTAAATGTGGCGTTAAACCCAACTCACTCACTCACTCACTCTTGCACTGACGTTTCATATTCGACTTTCCAATAGTCAATTTAACATTCATAAATGTCCAGCAATATTCCGGCAGCTCCAGCTTTTGCTGTCTACATTTCACAACTATGAGGTACAATCAAGCCTGCTCTATCTACGAAAATTTCAAAGATCGTTACATGACTCTTGCTCAATAATTGTTTGATCAAAGTTACAACATTCAAAGCCTCAGTAGGTTGTTTTTAAAACTTTATGGCAGACATGTGGGGGACATTTCCAAATTTGACGCATCAGTGACAAGATGATATCTAATACAATTCCCTATTTTGACTCCGTTCCGTGTTTTTTTTCAGGTGAACAACTGACATGCCTTTGCATGTGTTTGTGACGGGCACCACCAATGATGCAAGATGATTTCACCTTTAGGCGAATGCCTGGTATCATCGCTATTTGATAGTGATTCGTGGTCGGAATTGTACAATGAAACTCGATCTGCTTTGGGCAGATATTGCCTTTGAATATGGAAAGGGTTTTGTTGTTTTTATTTGGTTACCAGTGGATTCACAGGAAGCCTTCCGTGACGAGGTTTTACAGGTCTATATCTGCATTCTGAGAGAAATATTGGGCAACTCAAGAATGGAGTTCCACGTTAAATCCAATCTCTAGAAAAGATTGTACTTTTAAAACTTTTCGTAATTGTGAATATTATTTACTGCATGTGGTCTTTCATGCACACATTAGGATTTCCGATTAAAATGATAACAGCTACCTAAGTATCATCACTCTGTTAAATTTCTTGGTGGGCACGCTAGAAATCTATGATTGTGGGTTCGAATCCCGGTTCGCCCCGATTACGTTGGAGACCTGCATCACGCCGTGATATAACTGGAATGATAAAAAAAGCGGCGTTGTATAGCTTATATTATGCACTGTACACTACCAAGTTTAAAGGCATTCTGCACATTTTATAATTGCCCCAGGTTGAGAGTGGTATAATTCCACGCAGTCGTCTGGCATCTGCGTCTCCTTAGACAACTTGGCCTCCCATGTTTCTTTTATATATACTAGAAAAAATAAAATTCAAATATTTTCATTATCTGGATCTAGAGTCCTGAGAAAACTCAAAAAGTGTAGTTTGCATGTATTGTTAAAGCTTTAAATATTTTCAATGACCTTATGATGATCTAAAATACATAAGAACTTCACTTATTTTGACATCCATTTGGGATACGAAACTGAGGCGACATATTCATTGCTAAAATTAAAATGGCGGCGCCCAGCGAACAATGTGAGAACCGGCGACTGCAGTGAACTTTTGCATTTTATGCGACGAGGATCGTTAATTATACAAAGAATTTCAGCGTAATGTATGTTACATTTACACAAATACTCGATGTGGTATATTTAGTGGAATGACGATGGTAGAATGTGCACTGCTGTAAACTGTAAACATGCATTCGTCTGTCGGGAGAGCACTTTTTGTCTGGCATTTTCAAAATAGGCCCTGTTATCAGATGATTAGGTGTTGTCATATATAGTTTTTGTGAGCCTTGTTTCTATCACTGTATAACTTTGATCCCACTAAAAGTTATGTGTTCTGCTATTGTGAGAAGGGACTATAAATGCAACATATGATATATCTCGCCTTTTCTGTATTAACCCCCTGGATGCCACAGGGACATATACAGTAGGCCTAAACTACGGTTATAACGAACTCAAAGGGACTACTAATTTTACTTTGTTATAACCGTAGTTCGTTATAAGTACATATACAGCATGACTACAGCATCTAGTCGGGACCAAAAAGTAAGTTTGTTATATCCGTCAGTTCGTTATAAGCGTGTTCGTTATAAGTGTAGTTTACTGTACATGTACCGCCTCTACAACCCTCACTTTAAAGTCGAATAAAATTCAAAATACATCACCCACACAAAAACACTTCACAGTTTTGATATTAAATTTGTAAGTCCTAAAATACTAGACATGTAGATCTACCTCATGGTATCTGATGCCCAGATAAATGTGGATATGATTGTATGGGTAAGGCACAACCCCCAGCATGAAATTAATGATGATCATGATATCTGTACTGTAAGGGCTGGTATTGTTTCATATCTGTGGTGTGTAGTCATGTTTCAGAAAGTTTTGATCATGTCTACTCTAACCTCGCAGTTGTCATCTAAAGATACTGTTTTGTTGTCAAATATGTCACAAACACTCCTGTGTGAGCATTATGATGATACTGATAATTCCAGTGACTGTTTGCAGTTTGAAGTGATCCAGCAAGATGTATTCCGTGTACAAGCAGATCCATCCCCCGACAGGGATTGAACACTGCGTCTACTGCAACTTCTTCAACTCATGGGAGAAGAATCTCGTCATAGCCGGAGTCAACCAGCTCCATGTGTACAGACTCAACTCCGAGCTGGAGGTAGGAATTTCTTGTTTTGTTATTATTATGTACAGATTAAAATAATAATTGCAGCAAAGAGGGTTTGGGTGAACCTGGCACAGTCAGACTAGGATTATTATTATTATTATCTTATGGGTAGGCAATGCATAACAAAATTAAGTAAGCATAACAGTTGTCACTAACCCCTATCACGCTCCATGTTAAAGTTACAGTTGAAGGTATCCCGAGGGATAGTAGAATTTCAGCATCCTTACATATGATATCAGTATCATCAAGTACCCTGTTTTTGAATGACACCTGTTTTCAAAGAGCAATGTCAAAAGTGATTTTTGTTGCATTATTAATATAATGAGAGGTGTGACTTCATGAACAAACAGGGGCGGTTGGGTAGCCTAGTGGTTAAAGCGTTCGCTCGTCACGCCGAAGACCCGGGTTAGATTCCCGACATGGGTACAATGTGTGAAGCCCATTTCTGGTGTACCCCGACATGATATTGCTGGAATATTGCTAAAAGTTGCGTAAAACCATACTCACTCACTCATGAACACACCTGCTGGCTTGACCTATCGGCATTGGGATCATCCTATTCATGTGAAGTACTGTACACCAGTCAGAACAGTTCAATCGTCATTCACAATTTTGCTGCCTTTGTCACGATCAGTCATGGAGAAAAATTCATATTTTGTGAAAAGGTTTAAAAATTTCAAGGCCAGGTCTGGACTTATATATTTATACCTTCGCGTGTGTGTAACATTTCAGAGCAGCATCGACTTGTGCCAGTTGTGGTCTTGTAGCCTCCCACCAACCCAACCATCCCCAACCCCTTACCAATCCATATATAATTAATGATACCAAATCAAAATACTCATCATTGTGTTATTATTTGTCAAAATTAGTCAGCATGCTCAAACATAAGTTGTTAGGAATGACAGTGTACACTGTGTATGTGAATTTAGATATTTCTGATCACGGTATGAGAAATGTCATGAAGTGGAAACATTTAACCTGGCAATGTTTAGCAATGTTTAGCAATGTTTAGAACAGACACAAGATGATGTCCACTGATGTGATACTTTTTGTTGAAGATGTCAGAGACACCAGAGGAAGAAATGTTAGCAGGTGAGATATATTATTATGTTTTAGATGGGAGTGTCATTCATTGGAAACTCAAGTATTGCTATATAAACAACAAAGTATCAATATGTTCACATATCTATAAATAATATAATTAGCTATTCTGTATGTGCCCATATAAAGATGTTCTAAGTAGACCATGTATACCTGCAATTAATCAATCATTGTCATGCTTAATGTGATCCTGACTGATCTACTAAATGTTTATAACTGAATTGTCTGCCTTTTAATTGCCCATTTAAACATGTACATGATGTAAGCATTTCTATCATGTTGTCTATGGAAGTGATGCAGCATCAACATTAAAAGTTTACCAATTCATCGATATCATGATATATGATGGACATCATTTGAATTGCAAATGGGAAATCCTCCGATCTTTGTTTAGCGATAGTGAGCACTAGGATCTGATGTTAATACGATGGATAAGGGACACAACTCTGCACCGCTGGTCAATCTGTGCCTCTTGGTATTGTCATAAATGTATACCATGCATAAATTATGTGTTACCATGGTTACAATATAGTAGTTATCATCAAAATAGTTTGTTTACCCAGACAACAACGCACTTCAAATGATTTTCATGACATTAGGGATGTCTTGTATCAAAATATCCATGCTGCATCGATACCAATGTATGAATATTGATACTAAATTAATAATTTACTTCCACATAAATGCTGATTATTGGTTTGAGCTTGGTCTGTCAGTTCTATACACATTCCCTTACATAGGTCCCCAGCAACCCATGCTTGCCGTAAAAGGCGACTATGCTTGGCGTAAGAGGCGACTAACAGGATTGGGTGATGAGGCTTGCTGACTTGGTTGAAGCATGTCGTCGTATCCTGAATGCGTGGATCAATGCTCATGATGTCAGTCACAGGAATGTCTGGTCCAGACTCGATATTTACAGACTGCCGTCATTTAGCTGGAATATTGCTGAGTGCGGCATTAAGCATCAACAACAAACAAACATACCTGCCTCACTTTGAACTCACCTACTCAGAACACTTAACCATAGGTACAGGGAAAATATCTAACATTCCTCTGAATCAGTATTCCCCATGTTTTAGGTAACCATGACGACCTTCGGGTAAGTAGTGACAGACATGTCTCATGAAAGATTTACACTTTTCAGACAGTCGCAGGACGAGACTGGAGAACCTGGCTACGTTCACACTGTTCGGCAATGTGATGTCCATGCAGACAGTGAAGCTGGCGGGCTCACAGAGAGATGCCCTATTGCTGAGCTTCAGTGATGCCAAGGTGAAAACTGAATAAATGATAATAAGGATTTTGTACAAAAAGTCTTATTCTTTAGCTTATCCTCCATTGCTCCTTAATGCATCTTTATCCAAGGTCTTAATGCAGTATTAGTATTGCTTAGATAGCCCCATAACTACTCTTGTATACGGACAGACAGATTAGATAGCAAATTTTTAGACTTCTCCTATCTCACACTTTACATTTCTTCCTTCTTCTTTTGATTCTTTTGTGGAAACACGCTTGAACAGAGTTTCTAGTTTCTAAAAACATTTTGCCTGAACACATCCCAGTATCACCATGGTCACCACCCAAACAAATGGGTCACACACTGTAATCCCGTGACCTTATGCGACCTGATCACATGACTACCACTGCCACATCATTCTCCATCTCATCGCCATCCTGTGGAGACATGTATTGAGTTTAAGAGAATTCATTTTTGGTTTCTTTACATGAGCTCCCTCCTCATTCGTAATAAGGTCTACAACTGTTCGCATGTCTGTATGTTTCAGCTCTCTGTGCTGGAGTACGACCCCGGTACACATGACCTAAAGACATCCTCACTCCACCAGTTTGAGGAACAGGAGCTGAAGGTGAGGTCCTCGTGATGATATTGTGTTGATGTCGTGTTGATGTTGTGTTGATGTCGTGATGATATCGTGATGATATCGTGAGGATTTGTGATGATGTTGTGATGTTGTGTTGATGTCATGATGATGTGTTGATGTCATGATGATGTGTTGATGTCATGATGTTGTGTTGATGTCATGATGATGTGTTAATGTCGTGATGTTGTGTTGATGTCATGATGATGTGTTGATGTCATGATGATGTGTTGATGTCATGATGTTGTGTTGATATCGATGATGTGTTAATGTCGTGATGTTGTGTTGATGTCATGATGATGTGTTGATGTCATGATGATGTGTTGATGTCATGATGATGTGTTGATGTTGTGATGTTGTGTTGATGTCATGATGATGTGTTGATGTCATGATGATGTGTTGATGTCATGATGTTGTGTTGATGTCATGATGATGTGTTAATGTCGTGATGTTGTGTTGATGTCATGATGATGTGTTAATGTCGTGATGTTGTGTTGATGTCATGATGATGTGTTGATGTCATGATGTTGTGTTGATGTCGTGATGTTGTGTTGATGTCATGATGATGTGTTGATGTCATGATGTTGTGTTGATATCGATGATGTGTTAATGTCGTGATGTTGTGTTGATGTCATGATGATGTGTTGATGTCATGATGTTGTGTTGATGTCATGATGATGTGTTAATGTCGTGATGTTGTGTTGATGTCATGATGATGTGTTGATGTCATGATGATGTGTTGATGTCATGATGATGTGTTGATGTCATGATGTTGTGTTGATGTCATGATGATGTGTTGATGTCATGATGTTGTGTTGATGTCATGATGATGTGTTGATGTCATGATGTTGTGTTGATATCGATGATGTGTTAATGTCGTGATGTTGTGTTGATGTCATGATGATGTGTTGATGTCATGATGTTGTGTTGATGTCATGATGATGTGTTAATGTCGTGATGTTGTGTTGATGTCATGATGTTGTGTTGATGTCATGCTGATGTGTTGATGTCATGATGATGTGTTGATGTCATGATGATGTGTTGATGTCATGATGATGTGTTGATGTTGTGATGTTGTGTTGATGTCATGATGATGTGTTGATGTCATGATGATGTGTTGATGTCATGATGTTGTGTTCATGTCATGATGATGTGTTGATGTCGTGATGTTGTGTTGATGTCATGATGATGTGTTGATGTCATGATGATGTGTTGATGTCATGATGATGTGTTGATGTCATGATGATGTGTTGATGTTGTGATGTTGTGTTGATGTCATGATGATGTGTTGATGTTGTGTTGATGTGATGATGTCATGATGATGTGTTGATGTTGTGTTGATGTGATGATATTGTGATGATGTTATGTTGATGTCGTGATGATGTCATATTGATGTCATGATGATGTCATATTGATGTTGTGATGATGTTGTGATGATGTTGTGTTGTATGATTAGGATGATAACAAAGTCTCTTTCATGCTTCAGATATGAAAGCTTCAGATATTCTTTACATTATAGCCTTGACAACATGTGAAGAGTTTAGTGTATTGCATGAATCATACCATGGACCTATACAAGTCCGTGATCATACCAGTTATTAATTCAAGATATGATATTCCTCAGGGAGCTGAGAATGAAAACCAAATGCACGCTAATCCATTGACCAGGGTAATAATAATGGAGCGTCATGAGCATTGACTTGGAATTTGGCGTATTATCATGGTTATTAATGCACTTATTTTGACACGTATGATTACAGGAAGGGTTTTACAAGCCACATACAATCCCCATGGTGCGAGTTGACCCTGACGGCCGGTGTGCAGTGATGCTGGTGTACGGCACGCACCTGGTGGTGCTACCATTCAAGAAGGACGCTGTGTTGGAGGAGATTGACCCACTCATGGGGGGATCGTGAGTCTCCGTCTCCTGTTACCCTGGTTACACACCTGGCATGAATAACTTAAACCCCAGGGCACTTGCACTTGTTTTCATTATCTGGGTGCCTTTGTACAAAGCTATCTTAGCGCTAAGGTGATCGTAACTCCCATACCTTAACATAGACTTACGACAGTCGTAGCGCTAAGGTTGTTTTGTACAACGGCACCCAGATCTGTATGGAACCCGTGAAGATTGAAACTTCCATTTAAGAATTGGTCTTCAGCAACCCATGCTTTTTGAAAGAGGCGACTAACGTGATCGGTTGGTCATGCTTGCTGACTTGGTTGATGCATGTCATCGTATCCCAATTGTGTAGATCGATGCTCATGATGTCAGTCAGTGGGTTGGCTTGTCCAGACTCAGTTATGTACACAATGGCATCACACAGCTGGAATATTGCTGAGTGCGGCGTTAAACAACAAACAAACAAATACATTTTCATGGACTGAATGTGTACGTACAAACAAACAAATCAATCAAATCAATCAAATCAATCTCTATGGACTGAATGTGTGCATGAAAAATCCCATTTTGAATACACAGAGAACATATCATCTTTGAATACATCTCTGACCTTGCACCTTTAGGTAGGAGATGTTGCAGGTGTGTTGAGTAATTCCTCTGGAACCAGTACTGTAATGGAGGTTTCAAATATAAATGTGTCAGGGTATTGAGTGCCCAATAACAACCTCATACTTGACCGTACCTAATGTTCATTGATATTATAAACATGGTGAATAAAAATGTTATTGATAGTGTCTCCATCGATGAACAACACCTGCGTACATACATGAACGTGTGTGTAGCTTGTACTTTTAGCACCCGTGAAGATCCGGGGTAGAATAGGTCTTCAGCAACCCATGCTTGCCGTAAAAGGTGACTATGCTTGTCGTAAAAGGCGACTAATGGGATTGGGTGGTCAGGCTCGCTGACTTGGTTGATGCATGTCATTGATCCCAATTGTGTGGATCGATACTCATGATATTAATCACTGGATTATCTGGTCCAGACTCGATTATTTACAGACCGCCGTCATATACCTGGAATACTGCTGAGTGCGGCGTTAAACAACAATCCAACCAACCAACCAACTTGTACTTTTAGAATGGCATTTGAATTGGATGTGTTGGGGTGAGTTGTTTTTTTAAAGCTGGAAACATCGTCTAAGACGTTTCCACATCAAGGTTGAAGAAGAAGGAAGAAATGCTTAGTGTGAGATAGGATAAGTATATATCTATATAAGTATATAACTTTTCAAATTTGCCAGATTCAGCAGCAAGTCTCCCATTCTGTCGTCCTACATCATCGATCTGCGGAAGCTGGACGAGAAGATCACCAACGTCCACGACATCCAGTTTCTGCATGGCTACTTCGAGCCGACAGTCTTCATTCTGTATGAACCTCTTATGACATGGACAGGGTAGGTTGTGTCAGACTCCGGGCTAGAACTGGTCACATTTTCTGGTCGTACGGGGCGACGTAATGGATTGGGTGGTCAGGCTCGGTCGTACAAGATGACGTAATGGATTGGGTGGTCAGGCTCGGTCGTACGAAACAACTTAATGGATGGGGTGGTCAGGCTCGGTCTTACAAGATGACGTTATTATTTGGGTGGTCAGGCTTGGTTGTACAGGGCTACTTAGTGGATTGGGTGGTCAGGCTTGGTTGTATGGGGCAACTTAATGGATTGGGTGGTCAGGCTCGGTCGTACAAGATGACGTAATGGATTGGGTGGTCAGGCTCGGTCGTACAAGATGACGTAATGGATTGGGTGGTCAGGCTCGGTCGTACAAGATGACTTAATGGATTGGGTGGTATGGCTCGGTCTTACAAGATGCCGTAATGGATTGGGTTGTCAGGCTTGGTCGTACGGGGCTACTAAGTGGATTGGGTGGTCAGGCTCGGTCATACAAGATGACTTAATGGATTGGGTGGTCAGGCTCGGTCGTACAAGATGACGTAATGGATTGGGTGGTCAGGCTCGGTCGTACAAGATGACGTGATGGATTGGGTGGTCAGGCTTGGTCGTACAAGATGATGTAATGGATTGGGTGGTATGGCTTGGTCGTACAAGATGATGTTTTGGATTGGGTGGTCAGGCTCGGTCGTACAAGATGACTTAATGGATTGGGCGGTCAGGCTCGGTCATACAAGGTGACGTAATGGATTGGGTGGTATGGCTCGGTCGTACAAGATGACGTAATGGATTGGGTGGTCAGGCTCGGTCGTACAAGATGACGTGATGGATTGGGTGGTCAGGCTTGGTCGTACAAGATGACGTAATGGATTTGGTGGTATGGCTCGGTCGTACGATGCAACTTAATGGATTGGGTGGTCAGGCTCGGTCATTTGGTTGATTGTATGTCATTGTACCCTGACGAAGTGGATTGTACCTCATAATATCAATCACTGGATTGTCTGGTCAATACTTGATTATTAACAGGCTGCCTTCATACAGCTGGAATATTGCTGACTGCAGTTTTAAACAACAGACGAAACATCATATACACATCCTGGATTTTGTCTGTTATAATGCATGTTGATTAATCAATGTAAATAAACCTAACAGAGGACTCAACAAGTTATGGTTCTCATATACCAGCTGGTGAAATAAGCCAATACTATATATTCAGATTTATTTTCTGGTACCAGAGACAGGGTCAACTAGTTTGGCACATAGCATTGGCTCAGGACACAGAATATCCACTGACACTGTTATTCAACCTGTTGGAATAGTATTGTCATTTATTCACTGATTATTCCCCATACAGTCGTACAGCGGTGAGGGCGGACACCTGCAGCATTGTCGCCATCTCCCTCAACATCCAACAGAAAGTCCACCCCATCATCTGGTCACTGAGTAGTCTCCCCTTTGACTGTTTCATGGCGATTGCTGTGCCGCGACCAATTGGTGAGTAGTGATGATCTAGATGGTTGGTTCACAACATGTTGATCATACTTTGTCTGGATGGGAGTAGTCTCCCCATTGTTCCTATCCATGGCTTTATCATACCCCGACCTAAGAGGGCCAGGGATATAGTTATACCAAGGAATTCCATCCATTGTCCTTCCGTCTTTCAGAGGACATTTTGTGTGTGCGACCTATAACTTGAAAACTACCGTATAGATTCTTTTTGAACTTGGTGAACTCTTTTTATGCCAATATGAGAGGTTTAATGCAAAGTTTGATTCTGATATGTGGATTTTTTAAAGAAAAATTATTCTCTTTCTGATTAAATCCTCCTTGGGGCACTTATTGCATTTTCCTTGCTCAAGAAAATCTATATGACATAGTTGTAACCATTTTCCTTAATAAAAAATGTTACCACACAAAAAACTTCGTTTTTGTATGATATACGACCACCCTTACGGGGCCTCACCCCCAACGGCGCCTCACGCCAGGGGGAGCAACTCTCACCCAAATCACTTTCCTTATGTCATCTGTAAGAGACAGACGTGTTGATTTTTCACACAAGACAAAAATAAGAGAAATCTATCGTTCGACAAGAACCATGGCTGACCAAACTGTATGTATGGTACATTTCTTTCTTTGCAAAGGCGTAATACCTCGCATTGTGAAGTTATAGAGTTGTAATAATACGCCACGTGCACGGTACCTTTGAATACAAATGGCCGTAATGGCGTCCATATTGTAGTTCCACGGGCTGATACATGTAACACCAAGGCCATTAAGAAACGGCTTGGGGTTTTGTTATATCATACAGCATTGATCTACAATTTTTTCCTTTACAAAACCCAAGGTGGTGTGTTAATTCATAAACTACACTTACCTTTTTTACGGGTTTTTACACCTTAGCGCGTAACACGCCCCTTTGGTGTTATAATTATACTACACATTGGCTATTAGTATCGCGTTACAAATCGCATTCTACATTACGCCTTTGCTTCTAGTTTCACAATTTATGCACGTTTCTTTCCGATCTTTATATCGCACTGATACACGTTGATACCCTTCCCGCCCACCTCAGAAATTACGGTCTTGTTTACAAGACCTTCAAACTGTGTACGGGTTGTTCTAAGACAGGCACGAACGCTGCCGAATATGTCTGGCGGAGGACATTGCCTTTACCCCCCGGGGCCCCCAAAAGAGACAAGTTGACTTGTTCCACTTTAAAGAGGTCTATTAAAGGCGGGGGTAGATATCAGATCTACTAAGACATCCCCCCCTCCCCATCTAAAAAGGGTAAAAAAGCTGCCGAGATTGTCTCCCCCGCTCCCTCTCCGGGGGCCGGGGGAGAAGGCTCGAGGGTCCCCGTAGTAAGCACTGCACCCTCTCCTGCACTGTCTTTGGCAGACTTTTCTGCGTTACTTAAGTCGCAGATGGCGTCGATGATGGAGGAGGTAAAGTCTCAGCTCCGAGAGGAGATGCGGACCGAGCCTTCCCTGTTGTCGGCGCCGGACGCGGCTTCGAGACCTTGTGATATGCCCGGCGTCGGCCGAGGCAGGCAACTTGGTCTCGGGGACGATCTCAGACCGGGCTTCGGCGACGGCTCGAGGTCGCTCCCCAGCGGAGGGGTGGCGGGCGCCGGCCCGTGCACTACCGACGCACAATTTTCCCTAGCGGAGCCAGACGCCTCTTCCGAGGCCGAGGCTTTCACTAGTGGATTCGTAGCCCGGAGCCAGGGGGGTTCCCTTGGTCTCGGGGACGATCCGAGACCGAGCTTCGGCTCCGGCTCGAGGTCGCTCCCCAGCGTAGTGGTGGCGGGCACCGGCCCGTGCACTACAGACGCACAATTTTCCCTAGCGGAGCCAGACGCCTCTTCCGAGGCCGAGGCGTCCACTAGTGGTTACCTAGCCCGGAGCCAGGTTGGTTCCCTTTGTCTCGGGGACGATCCGAGACCGAGCTTCGGCTCCGGCTCGAGGTCGCTCCCCAGCGTAGTGGTGGCGGGCACCGGCCCGTGCACTACCGACGCACAATTTACCCTAGCGGAGCCAGACGCCTCTTCCGAGGCCGAGGCGTCCACTAGTGGATACCTAGCCCGGAGCCAGGTTGGTTCCCTTTGTCTCGGGGACGATCCGAGACCGAGCTTCGGCTCCGGCTCGAGGTCGCTCCCCAGCGTAGTGGTGGCGGGCACCGGCCCGTGCACTACCGACACACAATTTACCCTAGCGGAGCCAGACGCCTCTTCCGAGGCCAAGGCTTTCACTAGTGGATACCTAGCCCAGTGCCAGGTGGGTTCCCTTGAACCTCCGGCACCTCGGCACCGGGACTCGGCCTCGGGCCGGGTGCAGAGACACGTGCGGGACAGGATTGTCCATGTACTGCCTCAGGTTGCTGCGCCCATGCCAGAGTCGGAGACACCCAACTTGACTAAGGTCAAGCAGGGCCGGCGGTTGCCCCCCCTTTCCCGTGTGCGGTGCGGAGTTGAAGGCTGCTTACATATGCTTCGAGGAGCAATATCATAATGCATGCCAACAGCTCCGTGTGTCCGTACACTCCGCGTATCTGTCGGCTGTACAGAGGGAGTTAGCGGGAGAGGGGCCGGCCGACTAACATTATCTTGCGCGGGACGCTATTCGTAGCTGTGCATCGCAGATGATGTGCGCTGTTATGTGCATGCGCAGGCGGTGGATGTCGGTATCTAAATACTTGACTTACACACGCCAAGACCTACTTGCTTTGCCGTATAAGAGGGTGCCACCCTCTTCCCTGGGGCTCAGCAGGCGGTCCGAGAGGCTGCTCAATTGTATACTTCCATCAAAGACTCATAAGGCCTTGTTGGAGGTACCAAGCGTTAAAACCGCGTAAGCGGGCCTCTCCAATTGTCCCCTCCTACGCTAACGCACGGGTCAGACGTCCACACCTGCTTGGAAGCCGCCGCTTCCTTCAGGTATAAGGGCGCCGTGAGGAGCAAGGGAGGCACGGGCCGGGGCAAGGCAGCTGGTCGAGGCCAACAGCTTTTTCGCGGGGCTGGGAACGATGGGTTCCCATTAGCGCCCGAAGAGCCCCGGGTGAACCCATAGTCGCAAGTTATCGGGAAAACTCATCCGCTCCTCCACTTTTCCGGGATAAAGCACACACCGGTGCCTGCTACCCGAGAGAAGGCGGAATTCCTCCGTGCCGAGGTCGACGCACTTCTTATGAAAGCTGCGATCGAACCGGGTCCCGAGGGACAGGAAAGCGAGGGCTTCTACTCGACTTGTTTCCTAGTCACCAAACAGTGATCTCAACTGTCGAGACAGTCAATAGACTTAAAATACGCCTATCTCCACATACCAATACATCCAGAGTTCAAGAAATACCTGAGGTTTTCTTTCGACGGGAGGTGTTATCAGTTCAGGGTTCTACCATTCGGGATCTCCACGGCCCCGAGGGTGTTCACCAAGCTGATGTTGATTCCCGCCCAAGTGGCCAGGTCAAAAGGTCGGTTCTGCCATCCGTACCTCGACGACTGGGTTACTAAGAGCTCTATTGCAATCCCTGAGTCAGATAGCTACACAACAAGTGATAGATATTCTGATCACTCTAGGGTGGATGGTCAATCTCAAGAAGTCAGATCTGAGCCCCACTCAGAATCTAGTCTTCCTAGTGGCTAATTTCAACACGGTGAGAGGACGTGTATCTCTGTCACAAGATATCAAGTCCCTTAAGCGCAAGTCACACTGCTCGTACATGGCTCCAGTTACTGGACAACATGGCGGCGACAGTGGATTTGGTCTGGCGGGCGCGCTTGAGAATGAGTCCCATTCAACAAGCACTCCGTCGACTTTGGGCGAACTCGGAAGATCTCGAGACTGTGCTCGAGACTCCGTAGTGGCTCATTACACACCTCCAGTGGTGGACCGAGGTCGGGAATCACTCCCGTTCCGTCTCTCACAGTTCAAACAGACGCGTCACTCTCCGGCTGGGGAGGCGTTCTGAATGATCACACTGCCTCGGGACTATGGTCCCAGCAGGAGATCAAACTGCATATCAATGTGCTAGAGCTGAGAGCGGTCAGGTTGGTGTTCCAACGCTTCCCGGATCTGCTTCGTGGCCAAGTGGTTCGTCTAGAGATGGACAACCAAACGGCGATGACTTACATCCGGAAGCAGGGGGGAACGGCGTCTCCGTCGCTTCGACGAAAGACGTGGCAGTTCCTACTATAGTGCGACTCTCACGATATCAGGGTGCTACCTGTTTATCTCCCGGGGGTGGACAACGTCCGTGCGGACGCTCTGTCTTGCCGGATCCTCGCTCCTCACGAGTGGAGGCTCGACCCGGGGATATTCGGGATTTTCTCCCTGTTATACAGGTCGTTACAGGTGGATCTGTTTGCGTCTGGGTTAAATAACCAGACACCAACGTTCTGCTCCCGAGTCCACGACCCGAGGTCGGTGGCACCGGACGCCTTTCAGCTAGATTGGACGGACAGTTCTGTGGGCATTCTCCCCAGTACCTCTGATTTCCAAGGTCCTGTCTCAGCTAGGCACTCAGCCTGCGCGACTAATTGTGCTCCTGGCACCTCTTTAGTCGGCGCAGAGTGGGTTTCCAGTAATACTCAGGTTTCTGGCTCAGCCTCCTGTTATATTACCTTTACGACCGGACCTCCTATCCCAGAACGGGGCCCTCCACCCGAATCTCAGGATTCAATGGGTGGCTTGGCCACTGTCAGGAATCGCCTCCAGAAGAGCGGTATTCCTGCACGAGTTGCAGACACAATACTGGCTTCGCGGAGGGATTCGACAAACGTTCAGTACGATAGATAGGCCTGCTATGCGCCCAGGTGTGTCGATAGAGGGATTGCAGATCTTTTTTCTGCAGATCTCGTATCCGTGCTTGAGTTTCTCCAGTCGCGACTAGATGACGGCCTGGCCGCATCAACAGTCCGAGGGTACTCTACAGCTATCGCAGCTTTTCACGTCCCTGTCGACGGGGCACTTCTGGGTGCACACCCATTAGTGCAGCGCTTTTTAGCAGGTGTGGACAGGATCCGACCGCCAGTCCGGCGGATCAGTCCCCCTTGGGACTTGTCAATCATTCTAGATTGGCTGTCCGGTCCTTCCTTTCGGGATCTGTCGTCTCTCTCTCTTCAGCTGTTGAGCTGGGAGACGGCGTTCCTTGTGGTGGTAACGTCCGGCAGACGGGTAGGCGACATTCGTGTTATGTCAGCCGATCCCAAAATAACTGTCTTCCATGGGGTCGATAAATATCACCGGGACAGTCAGTTTTCGTCTACCGGACTATTACCGTCCTAGGGTCGCACACGATTCCACGTGAACGGCTCCTATTGAGCTACCCGCTCTTTCACAGCCTTCCTCGTCGGGGACCACTGCAAGACATGCTCATGTCTTGGATGTCCGCACGACTCTCAAGGCCTATATCAGCAGAAATATGGGTGTCCGTAAGGATAACCAACTATTTTGCTGTTACTGCGGTAGGAAGGTTGGCTCACCTGCGAGTAAACAATCTATCTCGAGGTGGATAGTTTCAAACATGTGTACAGCGTATACGCTTACAGGCAGGGACCCCCCTACCAGGTTGAAGGCTCATTAGGTTAGAGCAGTGGCTGCGTCAAAAGCGTACGCCGCGGCTCTGCCCATTGAGCAGATCTGCTCCGCGGCTATTTGGAGCCAGCCGAGCACGATTCATCAAACCTTACCAACTCGACAAACACTCAAGCGAGCGTACTCGGTTTGGTCAGTCAGTTCTCCGAACTGGGCAAAGTTCTAATCTCTAGCTGATTGAGCATTCGAGATTTTAGACAGTCTTCCGGTTATACTGCTCAGTAATGGTCCGGATTTTATCTTCTGCGGTCGATAAATATCAGTCCTTACTACTCGATAATACTCGTATTTTGCGCACGCACTCCTTCGATCCTCGGGGACCCTCTGGCCTAGCTCAGCGCTGGTTATGGTCTCTCGTGATCTACGCCCTTATATCACTTGTTCAAAAAAGTGGGGGGGGGGGGGGGGGGTGGGAGGTGTTTCGAGTTCTCAACTTATGACAAGCCGCAAAAACAGGCTTTATCATAATATATGGTCGACCACGCCCTGTCTCTAGCCCCCGCCTTTCGACGGTGGTGCCTCACGATAAGGTTGGTTCCATTTATTGAACTCAATATTTTATTCTGTTGAATAATCAAATACGATGTATTTATTTACGCCTGTTGCTGACGGATGCCACTTCCTAGATTATCTTTGGGAGTCTGTCTTGATGCAATAAGTGCCCCAAGGAGGATTTAATCAGAAAGAGAATTTTACAAACCTGTAGAGGTTATGAATTCTCTGATGAAATCCTCCTTGGGGCACGGCCACCCACCTCCCCACATTCCGTCAGCATTTGACATATGGAAAGTGATTTGGGTGAGAGTTGCTCCCCCTGGCGTGAGGCGCCGTTGGGGGTGAGGCCCCGTAAGGGTGGTCGTATATCATACAAAAACGAAGTTTTTTGTGTGGTAACATTTTTTATTAAGGAAAATGGTTACAACTATGTCATATAGATTTTCTTGAGCAAGGAAAATGCAATAAGTGCCCCAAGGAGGATTTCATCAGAGAATTCATAACCTCTACAGGTTTGTAAAATTTTTTACATGTTTTGAACTTCATGAACTTAAAATGTTTGTTTTCTTCAACGTTTGTGCGACCTATCACTTGAGAACTTCTTCACTCATTCTTTGTTAGTTTAAGAAACACTTTCTATGCTAATAGAAGAGGTGCAGTGTTTGTTTGATTTGAAATGTGTATTTTCTGAAAAAATATGATTTTTTTATGGATTCTTTTCCAAGTGTGGGTACAGTTTCTATACCAATATGAGAGGTGCAGTTCAAAGTTTGATTTCGATAAGTGAACATTCTGAGAAAATATTGCTTTTTCATTGTTTTGAACTTAGAAATATGTTGGAGTCGAAGTCGGGGGTAGTAGTGGGCCCTGCTCACTTCGTGCATTGTTCAGCTCCTGTGATATAACTGGAATATTGGGACTGCGCTGTTTCTAGATTTTTCTGTGGTCAAAGCCATTGCAACTCAGCAGCGGTAGAAACTAACAGTTTTAGTCTGCTAGTCCTTATAATGATAACCTATAGCAAATCCCTTAAAAATGGCAAATTTCTACTAGTCCTTATGATACCTAACTATTAGGAGGTTTGGCAAGGACTACAGGACTAGTGCCAATTTCTAACGCTGCTCAGTATGCAGAGTTGCTTCCCTTAGCTTACATGATGGTTTTAGGTTTGAATCCTCTTCCAGCCTGATTATGAACCCTGGTCTGACAGCACCATGGGTTTCACTGAAGTGAACATCAAACACCTGCTCCAATGTGGGCTCCCCTCCACGTCAACTCACTATTTGTTTTTGACCCTTGAAGACCCAGGGTAGAATAGGTCTTCAGCAACCCATGCTTGCCGTAAAAGACGACTATGCTTGTCGTAAGCGGCGACTAACAGGATTGGGTCGCTGACTTGGTTGATGCATGTCAGACTTGTCCAGACTCAGTTATTTACAGACCACCGTCATATGGCTGGAATATTGCTGAGTGCGGCGTTAAACAGACAGACAGACGAAAAGGACTGTTTGTTGACATGAAACAGTCGAGTTGATGTTAATGTATATTTTCCATGATGCATGTTTGTTCCAGGTGGTGTGATAGTGTTTGCTGTGAACTCCCTTCTCTACTTGAATCAGAGCGTCCCTCCATATGGTGTCTCCCTCAACAGCATGGCAGAGGCGTCGTCCGCCTTCCCACTCCGTACGTAAATCTTGAGAGATCCCACTGTGGACTGTCAGTTGACTTGACTTCTGTAGGTAACTTATGTCTAGGACACTTGATAGAACAATAACTACTGATTAATTCAAACCATATTTCATTTAAGAAAGCAAGGCGATTGTTATGGTGTTTATTTACAACTATGATGTCCTTGGGAAAGGAATGATCATGTTAATTGTTGTCCAGGGCCCTGTTCCACTAAGTAATCTTAGTGCTAAGACGATTGTATCTCCCAGAGTTTTACACAGACTTGTGACAGTTGTAGTGCTACGATCGCTGTGTGGGGCAGGGCCAGGCAAATAAGTGCAGAAACAAATGATGTTCATCACTATGGAGACAATTTAGGCATACCTTGAAGTGTATCATGGCAGCCTCTGGTTACTGAGAAGTTAATGTCTTATTGTTCTTGATGAACATGATGACAGTCGAGACACATTGGGGCCCGTGTATCCATGGTAACAGGTGATGAAGAACAGGTGGCTAGGGCTACAGATAAGCAGTGTATTTGCGTAAAATAAATAAATATTCAAAACCCAATTACTTTTAATTAACTTGCGTACAGAAATGCACGCATTAAATGAAAAACTCTAATGTATAAACAAAGCTCGTGTAAATACCCAATGAAGCTTTTTCAGCATCTGTACAAAGGAGCTAATTTCCAAAAACACAATTACGAGATAACTGACTTTCGGAGTCAAGCCTATTTATTTGGAACAGTTACTATACATTTAAGACATTAATTCATTTTTTTTTTATCTTAAAATGTTCACTAATTTTTAATTTTGGGAAAAAAAACACTAGAGTGATGAATAGATGAGTGAAAAAATATTGGTTACCTGATCAAAAATGTAATAACCCTATAAAATAGAAACCCTAGAGTAAAAACTCACTTGCTCAAAAAGTTATCTGGAGTTCTTGGTTACTAAAGTGGTGATTGGGTGTTTGTGCTGGAACTGTAGTGATCCACCAAGACACCTCCTAAACAGGAGAGGATACTAGGAATTGTCGGAGGTCTCACAGATCTTCATGTCGGAGGTCCTCTCGGATCTTCATGTCAGTGGTCCCCTCGGATCTTCATGTCAGAGGTCCCCTCGGATCTTCATGTCAGAGGTCCTCCCGGATCTTCAGCAAAACAATTCTTTAAATTGTGAAGCCTTAAAGAGATGAAATCTTTACTGGACTGAATTCAAAGCTTGAAACTTTAGTCACTTCTAAGAATTTGTAGTATTTTTGAATGTTCATTCTCCAAATCGGGTTAAGTCAGGAGGATGGAATGCCCAATCTCATTAAAATCAGATCTTAGTTCTTGCAACCGCTAAACAAAGATCTGAGGACGTCCCTTTAGGGATCAAGTGAAACCAACCTTTCATCTGACCAATCAGAGCGTCGCTGAAAGTGACAGTCAGAATGTTATTTCTAATCATGCAACCTTGAAAACATGAACACGGGGTATTCCGAACGATAGTTAGGGGCTTAACGACGGAATCCACACAATCTAGACGATCTTTTAGCCATTCCAGAATGTTCTTTTGTTCAGGTTTCAAATTTTTAATCTAGAATTTGTCAAAATATGTTTCGAGGCGTAGTCGCCAGTTAGTGCTGTAAAGCACATGAAAGCTTCCTTCTGATTGGCTAATGTCGACTTCTTGTCAGTCATTCCATTGGTCGGTCAAAGTTCGCGCATGGTCGGTCTAACGTGACCCGTAGCGGGATGTCCTCAGATCTATGTTAAGGCGTAGCGAGAATTAAGATCTGATTTTAATGAGTTTGATGGAATGCCTCATTTATAGTTGGTCTTTCGCCACAAATAGCCTCTCCTGGTCCAGATCCAGATATGTCTGGGCTTTTGTATTGATGACAGCCGAGTCTACATCCCCCTCTGACTTGTTGCAGGGATCCAGGACGGGGTGAAGTTAACCTTGGACTGTGCCCGAGCTTCCCTCATCTCCCACGACAGACTGGTTTTGTCCCTCAAGGGTGGGGAGCTGTGAGTAGCCACGTCCTTAACACTCATCCACAATTTGTTGTTCAGTAACATAATTCTTACTAGAACGATGGGATTAACGACGCTATCCTTGTCTGTTTCTACCATGTGTCTTGGTTATGTAGCATGATGTCGTGTTCTCTGTTTCAAATGGTCATTTCCTCTTGTCCAGGTACGTGTTGACCCTCGTGGTGGACGGCATGAGGAGTGTCCGCAGCTTCCACTTCGACAAGGCCGCCTCCAGCGTGCTCACCACCTGTGTGAGTAGTTCCCATTCGTTCCTTGATCCACGATCTCGCACAGCTGTAAAAATGATAATTCTACCTCTTCCTGACTCATACTAATTATTTATCTCTCTCTATTTCCGGATTTGATTCCCGACATGGGTACAATGTGTGAAGCCCATTTCTGGTGTCCACCGCCGTGATATTGCTGGAATATTGCTAAAAGCGGCGTGAAACCATACTCACTCACTCAGGCCACCTCACTGAATATAGATAGCTAACTCTCTCTGATGATTATGAATGTTGTATGCCGAGACACGGACCAGACATAGGTCCGACATGGGTCTGACACAGGTCCGACATGGGTCTGACACAGATCGGACATGGGTCTGACGCAGATCCGACATGGGTCTGACGCAGGTCCGACATGGGTCTGACGCAGGTCCGACATGGGTCTGACGCAGGTCCGACATGGGTCTGACATAGATCTGACACAGTCTGACATGGGTCTGACGCAGGTCCGACATGGGTTTGATACCCAACACATCAATAGAAGGCCAGTTCTGATGTCCACTGCTTCTGCAGTACTGCCAACAGCTGGTAACTCTCCTTGTCTGTTCCTCGTCCCATAGATGTGCCAGTGTGAAGAGGGCTTCTTGTTCCTGGGGTCGCGGCTCGGCAACTCCCTGCTGCTCAAGTATGAGGAGAAGGCCATGGACAAGTCTGAGAGGCAGGAGGCCGACAAGAAACAGGTGTGTGTGTGTGTGTGTGTGTGTGTGTGTGTGTGTGTGTGTGTGTGTGTGTGTTGTGTGTGTGTGTGTGTGTGTGTGTGTGTGTGTGTGTGGAAGGCCATGGACAAGTCTGAGAGGCAGGAGGCCGACAAGAAACAGGTGTGTTTGGTTTGTGTGTGTGTGTGTGTGTGTTGTGTGTTGTGTGTGTGTGTGTATTGTGTGTGTTGTGTATGTGTGTTGTGTGTGTGTGTGTGGTGTGTGTGCGTGGTGTGTGTGTGTGTGGTGTGTGTATGTGTGTGTGTGTTGTTTGTGTGTGTCTGTGTCCGTGTGTCATAAATTCCACTGAAACCAGTGACTGTCTGTAATGTATTCCTCTGCTGCAGAATGAACCTGCTTCAAAGAAGAGGAAGGTTGAAGGGGCGGAACAGTTAGGTGAGTGTGTCCCAGAAGCAGGGTTCATTCCAGAGCATGGATGTGTGTGTGTTGGGGGGGTCCTTTAGCTCACAGCTTATTGAATTGTCCAGTGCACAGTCAAATCATGTTTCGGAGTTCCGAGAGTGAGCAGCATGTCGAAGAGAGACACGATGACAGCTATCAACACGGGTAGCATCACACTGGATTGACAAGAAGATTTGTAGCATTTGTTCTCTTGGCTTCTTATTGAAAATAGGCCTATCTTAAAAAATGGATTTTAATGACGTTAAATTTGATCTCACTCCCTCACTCACCCCGTCTTGTCTTGGGTGGATCCAAGGTGCCCTGTCATTGTAGCAACACAGCAAGAATGATGCTGTGATCAGTACTATTTTACAAACAACCCTTCAATTGAATTGTTTCCATTGATGAGAAATATATATACTTGAGTCCACCTGGTAGTTTTGGAGTACGGTTGATGACCAAGCATGTGCAAGTCAGTGTTGGTAGCGCCCTGATGAGACCAGTGTCCTGATGAGACCAGTGTCCTGATGAGACCAGTGTCTGGATGAGACCAGTGTCCTGATGAGACCAGTGTCCTGATGAGACCAGTGTCCCGATGAGACCAGTGTCCCGATGAGACCAGTGTCCTGATGAGACCAGTGTCTGGATGAGACCAGTGTCCTGATGAGACCAGTGCCCTGATGAGACCAGTGTCCTAATGAGACCAGTGCCCTGATGAAACCAGTGTCCTGATGAGACCAGTGTCTGGATGAGACCAGTGTCCTGATGAGACCAGTGTCCTGATGAAACCAGTGTCCTGATGAGACCAGTGCCCTGATGAGACCAGTGTCCTGATGAGACCAATGTCCTGATGAGACCAGTGTCCTGATGAGAACAGTGCCCTGATGAAACCAGTGTCCTGATGAGACCAGTGCCCTGATGAGACCAGTGCCCTGATGAGAACAGTGTCCTGATGAGACCAGTGTCCTGATGAAACCAGTGTCCTGATGAGACCAGTGCCCTGATGAGACCAGTGCCCTGATGAGACCAGTGTCCTGATGAGACCAGTGTCCTGATGAGACCAGTGTCTGGATGAAACCAGTGTCCTGATGAGATCAGTGCCCTGATGAGACCAGTGCCCTGATGAGACCAGTGTCCTGATGAGACCAGTGCCCTGATGAGACCAGTGTCCTGATGAGACCAGTGTCTGGATGAGACCAGTGTCCTGATGAAACCAGTGTCCTGATGAAACCAGTGTCCCGATGAGACCAGTGTCTGGATGAGACCAATGTCCTGATGAGACCAGTGTCTGTATGAGACCAGTGTCCTGATGAGACCAGTGTCCCGATGAGACCAGTGTCCTGATGAGACCAGTGTCCTGATGAGACCAGTGTCCTGATGAGACCAGTGTCTTGATGAGACCAGTGTCCTGATGAGACCAGTGTCCTGATGAGACCAGTGTCAAGATGAGACCAGTGTCAAGATGAGACCAGTGTCCCGATGAGACCAGTGTCCTGATGAGACCAGTGTCCCGATGAGACCAGTTTCCTGATGAGACCAGTGTCCCGATGAGACCAGTGCCCTGATGAGACCAGTGTCTGGATAAGACCAGTGTCCTGATGAGACCAGTGTCCCGATGAGACCAGTGTCCTGATGAGACCAGTGTCTTGATGAGACCAGTGTCCTGATGAGACCAGTGTCCCGATGAGACCAGTGTCCTGATGAGACCAGTGTCCCGATGAGACCAGTGCCCTGATGAGACCAGTGTCCCGATGAGACCAGTGTCCCGATGAGACCAGTGCCCTGATGAGACCAGTGTCCCGATGAGACCATTGTCCCGATGAGACCAGTGTCCTGATGAGACCAGTGTCCCGATGAGACCAGTGTCCTGATGAGACCAGTGTCCTGATGAGACCAGTGCCCTGATGAGTGTAGTGTTGCCTATTCCCTGTGTACATGTTAGAAGTGATAGATGAGAGATACTGTGTAACACACCTGTGTTACACACCTCCACTCACTCACTGATAGCCGATGTATTTTGCAGCGTCTGATGTGACGGAGATTGAGAACCTGGATGAGCTGGAGGTGTACGGCGCCAGTGAAAACACAGCAGGAACCACCATCACATCCTACACCTTCGAGGTCAGATCATGCCACTGCAGCACTCACATATAAAGAAATACGAAATATTTAATATTATGGATTTTTAAAACTAATTTATTTCCAATGAAATGTTGTATTTGTTTAGCGGAAATGTAAATAATTTATTCCATGATCTTTCGCTAAGAATTGTTGCTGATATGGCAGTCACTTACTGTCATAGAGAGAGATGAGTTACCTCCCCTTGTTGTAATCGTGCAGGTGTGTGACAACATATGGAATATCGCCCCGTGCGGACAGATCACGATGGGAGATCCTGTCTTCCTGTCTGAAGAGTTCAGTAGCTCCCTTGACCCTGACCTTGAACTTGTCACGACCTCTGGCTATGGCAAGAATGGGGCCCTATCAGTATTACAGGTAAGTGTTGTCTTTATTCCCTTCTCTTCTGCAGCCTACTGAGAGGTCTGTTCTTTACTTAGGAAGATAATTACCTCTTTGTGTCAAACACTTATCTCTTCGCTAAAAACTTTATTCTTCTCTTGCTTTAAATTGCCTGCCTCCGTGGTCTAGTGGTAGAACATCCAACCAGAGAGTGGAAGGTCCGGGATTCGATCCCCGGCCGCGTCATACCAAAAGATGTTAAAAGATGGTAATTGTTGTTACCCTGCCTGGCGCTCGGCATTAAGGGGCTAAAACAAGGACTGGTCGACTCGGAGTCTGTATACTGTGTCTGAGTGGGGTATTTATGTTAAACTGCGTCATGGTATCTCAGTGGGCTAGCACTATAAATTTGCACCAGTCCAGACTAGTACAACAATCATTTACACACATGCATGCACGTCGCTATGTAAGTGCAATAATCTTGGACGAGATGTTAAACCCTATTTCACCTCACCTGGCTTCAAATTTGTCAAGTCATAAATCATTAAACCAATTGTCATGTTTGTGGTAACAACCAACAACCAAGCTTGTTATGTTCTAACATTAATCTGAACAACTAAAATGTTTTGACTGCCAGATCATATCTGTCCAATGTCACCTCTATTCACACAAGAAATGTGAAAATGACACAAAAGGTGTTGCTACATCAACAGTTTCTTTGAGCCGTTGACAGTGTCCTGCCAGTAGTCTGTCAGTAGTCTGTCAGCCTGGAATCTAGTCTGGCCTACAGCTGGTCTCTAGCCTGGCCTACAGCTGGTGTCTAGCCTGGCCTACAGCTGGTGTCTAGCCTGGCCTACAGCTGGTGTCTAGCCTGGCCTACAGTGGGTGTCTAGCCTGGCCTACAGCTGGTGTCTAGCCTGGCCTACAGCTGGAGTCTAACCTGGCCTACAGCGGGTGACTAGCCTGGCCTACAGCTGGTGTCTAACCTGGCTTACAGCTGGAGTCTAACCTGGCCTACAGCGGGTGTCACAGTGTCAGCCTGGAATGTAGCCTGGCCTACAGCAGGTGTCTAGCCTGGCCTACAGCAGGTGTCACAGTGTGGTTTAATGTCAGGACTAAGGACCAGTCCTTGTTGTCGTTGATGAACATTGTCCGATCTTTATTTCAGAGAAGCATTCGGCCGCAGGTGGTGACCACGTTTGAGCTGCCCGGCTGTAGAGACCTGTGGACAGTGTTCAGCTCCGTGCCCCTGGTAGATGATGTGAGTCTTGTCAGCAATCTTAATGATACCATCTTAATGTTAACTGACAATAAAAATCCAGTTTCCATCCTTGCCAAACTAGGCTTTGAATTTCATGGCTTGATCGTAGCGCAACCAGTGGACTAAGCATAGACTAGTTAGTCCAGACAAAATATAACTCCGGAATTCCAGCCTAGTTTGTCAAGGGTGGAAACTGGACTTCTATAGTCAGTTAATGCCCTTGCCCCAGAAGATAGAATGATACATGGATAATACTTATGTAGATGATAATTTTAGTGATGTTGGTGAGTGTATGATGGTGATGTGGATGTGGATGGTGATTATGGTTGACGTCCATGTTGCTTTGGAGGATCGTGTGGCTGCTGATCCTGACAGTGCTGTGGATGATCTTGGTTGATGTTGATGTGGATGATGTTGATGATCCTGAAGGTGCTGTTGATGGTGCTGTCGATGATCTTGATGCTGCTGTTGATGTTGCTGTCGATGTTGCTGTTGATGGTGCTGTAGATGATGTTGATGATGCTGTTGATGGTGCTGTTGATGGTGCTGAAGATGATATTGATGGTGCTGTTGTTGATGTTGATGGTGCTGTTTATGATGCTGTTTATAATAATGGTGCTGTGGATGATGCTGTTTATGATAATGGTGCTGTGGATGATGCTGTGGATGTTGATGGTGCTGTTGATGATGTTGCTGTTGATGTTGCTGTTGATGATGTTGATGATGCTGTTGATGGTGCTGTTGATGTTGCTGTTGATGATGTTGACGGTGCTGTTGATGATGCTGTTGATGATGTTGATGGTGCTGTGGATGATGCTGTTGATCATGATTGTGCTGTTGATGATGATATTGATTGTGCTGTTGATGATGTTGATGGTGCTGTGGATGATGCTGTTGATCATGATTGTGCTGTTGATGATGATATTGATTGTGCTGTTGATGATGTTGATGGTGCTGGTGCTGTTGATGGTGCTGTTGATGATGTTGATGGTGCTGTTGATGATGTTGATGGTGCTGTTGATGCTGCTGCTTGTGTTGACAGGAGGCAGAGAAGGAGGAAGGGGAGAAAGAAGAGGAGCCCAAGCCAGAGTTGAAAGGAGGCCACTCCTTCCTCATCCTCAGTAGGGCCGACACCAGCATGGTGGGTCACCAAGTTTACAAACTTAAAAACTTAGAAATAGAAGGACCAGGGATTCTCGTCACTGTTCAGTGCTGCTGGACGCACAAACGGATAATGGCTCCTGCATTGGAAGACGTTTTCACACACTTTTTGAATGATTGTCATTCCTTGGCCTCTTTTGATAAGTCTGTTCACCACTTGGATTGATACAGTGATATTCACACCAAATCCCAGCAAATATACCATAGAATAGGTCTTCAGCAACCCATGCTTGCCAGAAAAGGTGACTGTGCTTGTCGTAAGAAGCGACTAATGGGATCGGGTGGTCGCTGACTTGGTTGATGCATGTCATCGTATCCCAAATGCGTTGATCAATGCTCATGGTGTCAATCACTGGATTGTCAGGTCCAGATTTGATTATTTACAGTCCGCTGTCATATAGCTGGAATATTGCTAAGTGCAGCGTTAAAGAACACACAAACAAACAAACAAACTTCTATTGTATGTAATCTCGTTGTTCAGGTTTTGAAGACAGGCCAGGAGATCATGGAGTTGGACCACAGTGGTTTCAGCACTGAGGCAGCCACGGTTTACGCAGGAAACATCGGCGCCAACTACATTCTGCAAGTCTGCCCGAAGGCCATCCGCCTGCTAGAAGGAGGTACCACTCTTCCACAGTATATTCTGCTGGGACACACGCGAAGTATCTAAATAGATATGGTGCTTATTTCATCAGCATTGATGACCATTATAGCAGATAACAGTAGAATATGGCCCAGGTATAACATTGTACATTTGCAATGGCTTTTGAGCCAATGTCAAAAATTGATTTTTAGCCTGTTTTCTTCAAAAGGTTTATGAAAATAGCATAATGCTGTAGAGGGGCCAAACGGCATCATCATGTAGCCAAATATGTAAATATTTCTACTTGCTACCAGTCATTTCGGCAACAATGGTACAAAAGTGGCAAGCTGTTGGATCACTGTGCAGTTACAGTGTTAACGAGATCATATCTCAGAATAACAGTGACATGAGAACCCTGACCTACTTGTGTCTTGTGACTGTGACCCCTGACCTTCTTGTGTCTTGTGACAGTGACCCCTGACCTACTTGTGTCTTGTAACTGTGACCCCTGACCTACTTGTGTCTTGTGATAGTGACCCTTGACCTACTTGTGTCTTGTAACTGTGACCCCTGACCTACTTGTGTCTTGTGATAGTGACCCTTGACCTATTTGTGTCTTGTGACAGTGACCCTGACCTACTTGTGTCTTGTGACAGTGACCCTGACCTACTTGTGTCTTGTGACAATGACCCTGACCTACTTGTGTCTTGTGACTGTGACCCCTGACCTACTTGTGTCTTGTGACTGTGACCCCTGACCTACTTGTGCCTTGTGACAGTGAACCCTGACCTACTTGTGTCTTGTGACAATGACCCTGACCTACTTGTGTCTTGTGACAATGACCCCTACCTACTTGTATCTTGTGACAATGACCCTGACCTACTTGTGTCTTGTGACAATGACCCTGACCTACTTGTGTCTTGTGACAGTGACCCCTGACCTACTTAAGTCTTGTGACAGTGACCCCTGACCTACTTGTCTTGTGATTGTGACCCTTGACCTATTTGTGTCTTGTGACAATGACCCTGACCTATTTGTGTCTTGTGACAGTGAAGCAGCTGCAGCACATCCCCATGGATATCTGCATCACCAAGTGCACCGTGGCCGACCCCTACGTCCTCATCATGACCGAAGATGGAGGCTTCATGCTGCTCACGCTCAAACAGGACAGCTTCGGCACCGGCGTCAGGCTGGCCGTCATGAAACCCCAGCTGCAGATGGTAGGTCATAGCCCCACCCTTTGGACTGAGTGAGTGAGAGAGTTGGGCTAAGTACAGTTTTGAACAGTATTCCAGTAATTTCACAGCGTGCCAGCTTAGTATTGGAGAAAACTCCAAAGCGATGCTGTTCTCAGATGTTGACCACTTTGGCGAAACCCATGAGCACAAGTATGGTGCTTACAAAACTAAAAACAAAAACGGGGTGAACCGGGATACGAACCCACATTCAAAGGTTTTTGGCATGCTAATGGATGCAACTCGGAGCCCACAAATGCCCCTCCACCAATAGGATAGGGGTATGGGTCGCTGATACAATGTTTTCTCTCTCTGATTCGATGTCCTCTCTGTGACAGCAACCCCTAGTGGTGAGCGTCACAGCCTACAAGGACCTGAGTGGCATGTTGACAACATCACCTATCAAGATGGAGGAACACCACACGGAGAAAGCCAACAAGCCCGTGGTGGAGAAACCAGTCATGCTGGATAGCAGGTCAGTTAGGAACATGTTCTGCTGGAAAGTAGGTCAGTTAGAAACATGTTCTCCTGGATAGTAGGTCAGTTAGAAACACATTCTGCTGGATAGCAGGTCAGTTAGAAACACGTTCTCCTGGATAGTTCGTCAGTTAGAAACACGTTCTCCTGGATAGTTCGTCAGTTAGAACCCGTTCTCTTGGATAGTAGGTCAGTTAGAAACACGTTTTGCTGGATAGTAAGTCAGTCAGTAACACGTTCTGCTGGATAGTTGGTCAGTAAGAACCCGTTCTCCTGGATAGGTCAGTTAGAAACACGTTCTCCTGGATAGGTCAGTTAGAACACGTTCTCCTGGATAGTAGGTCAGTTTGAACCCATTCTCCTGGTTAGTTTGTCATTTAGAAACACGTTCTACTGGATAGCAGGTCAGTTAGAAACACGTTCTACTGGATAGCAGATCAGTTAGAACCCGTTCTCCTGGATAGTAGGTCAGTTAGAAACACGTTCTCTTGGATAGTAGGTCATTTAGGAACACGTTCTGCTGGATAGCAGGTCAGTTAGAAACACGTTCTCCTGGATAGTTCGTCAGTTAGAAACACGTTCTCTTGGATAGTAGGTCAGTTAGAAACATGTTCTCCTGGATAGCAGATCAGTTAGAACCCGTTCTCCTGGATAGTAGGTCAGTTAGAACCCGTTCTCCTGGATAGTTGGTCAGTTAGAAACCCATTCTGCTGGATAGTAGGTCAGTTAGAAACATGTTCTGCTGGATAGCAGGTCAGTTAGAAACATGTTCTCCTGGATAGCAGGTCAGTTAGAAACACGTTCTCCTGGATAGCAGGTCAGTTAGAAACACGTTCTCCTGGATAGTAGGTCAGTTAGAAACACGTTCTCTTGGATAGTAGGTCATTTAGGAACACGTTCTGCTGGATAGCAGGTCAGTTAGAAACACGTTCTCCTGGATAGTAGGTCAGTTAGAACCCGTTCTCCTGGATAGTTGGTCAGTTAGAAACCCATTCTGCTGGATAGTAGGTGAGTTAGAAACATGTTCTGCTGGATAGCAGGTCAGTTAGAAACATGTTCTCCTGGATAGAAGGTCAGTTAGAATCACATTCTCCCGGATAGTTGGTCAGTTAGAACCCGTTCTGCTGGAAAGTAGGCCAGTGGTTAGTCAGTCATTACCCTTCTTCTGCTGGATAGTAGATCAGTAAGAAACCTGTTCTGCTGGATAGTAGGTCAGTTAGAGACACGTTCTGCTGGATAGTAGGTCAGTTAGTGACACGTTCTGCTGGATAGTAGGTCAGTTAGAAACACGTTCTCCTGGATAGTTGGTCAGTTAGAAACATGTTCTGCTGGATAGCAGGTCAGTAAGAAACCCGTTCTGCTGGATAGTAGATCAGTAAGAAACCTGTTCTGCTGGATAGTAGGTCATTTAGAAACCTGTTCTGCTGGATAGTAGGTCATTTTGAAACCTGTTCTGCTGGATAGTAGGTCATTTAAAACCTGTTCTGCTGGATAGTAGATCAGTAAGAAACCCGTTCTGCTGGATAGTAGGTCATTTGGAAACCCGTTCGGCTGGATAGTTGGTTAGTACCCTTGTGAAGAAACTGTTTATCAGACCTGTGTCAACAAACTAGACCAGAAATCCGCAATTTCAGAACACATCATCAAAAAACAAGACCATACCATCATTCGGGAAGCCACCAACAACAGCTGGTGTCAAAGAAAACTACAAGAGAAGCCATTGACGTCAGGGGACATCAGCCACCCATGAACCGTGACAAGGGAACCTATCTGCTCAGTGCTTGACACTTATTGGTCTGATTTTGTTGTCTGTGCCGCCACATGTTTGTCGCATTACCTTCACTGAATATTGTGTCTGTATATTTCAGTGCCATCGATGACGAGGATGAATTGTTGTATGGAGACTCAGACACATCAGCTTTCACTTCATCTTTCAACATGGGCACACAGGACAACAAGCAGACGTAAGTGGGTATGTTGTTGCAGCCGTAAGTGGGGATGTTGTTGCAGCTGTAAGTGGGGATGTTGTTGCAGCCGTAAGTGGGGATGTTGTTGCAGCTGTAAGTGGGGATGTTATTGCAGCCGTAAGTGGGGATGTTGTTGCAGCTGTAAGTGGGGATGTTGTTGCAGCTGTAAGTGGGGATGTTGTTGCAGCCGTAAGTGGGGATGTTATTGCAGCTGTAAGTGGGGATGTTATTGCAGCCGTAAGTGGGGATGTTGTTGCAGCTGTAAGTGGGGATGTTGTTGCAGCTGTAAGTGGGGATGTTGTTGCAGCCGTAAGTGGGTATGTTATTGCAGCTGTAAGTGGGGATGTTGTTGCAGCTGTAAGTGGGGATGTTATTGCAGCCTTAAGTGGGGATGTTGTTGCAGCCCTAAGTGGGGATGTTATTGCAGCTGTAAGTGGGGATGTTGTTGCAGCCGTAAGTGGGGATGTTGTTGCAGCTGTAAGTGGGGATGTTGTTGCAGCCGTAAGTGGGGATGTTATTGCAGCCGTAAGTGTGGATGTTATTGCAGCCATAAGTGTGGATGTTATTGCAGCCGTAAGTGGGGATGTTGTTGCAGCCGTAAGTGGGGATGTTGTTGCAGCCGTAAGTGGGGATGTTGTTGCAGCCGTAAGTGGGGATGTTGTTGCAGCCGTAAGTGGGGATGTTGTTGCAGCCGTAAGTTGGGATGTTATTGCAGCCGTAAGTGGGGATGTTATTGCAGCTGTAAGTGGGGATGTTGTTGCAGCCGTAAGTGGGGATGTTATTGCAGCCGTAAGTGGGGATGTTGTTGCAGCCGTAAGTGGGGATGTTATTGCAGCCGTAAGTGGGGATGTTATGCAGCCGTAAGTGGGGATGTTGTTGCAGACGTAAGTGGGGATGTTGTTGCAGCCGTAAGTGGGGATGTTGTTGCAGCCGTAAGTGGGGATGTTCTTACAGCCGTAAGTGGGGATGTTATTGCAGCTGTAAGTGGGGATGTTATTGCAGCCGTAAGTGGGGATGTTGTTTGTTGTGCATGTTAGGTATGTTTACATTGTAAGTGCGCCAATGCGCACGTGCAGTGACGTCACTTTAGGTGAAGCCGTAAGTTGGGATGTTGATGCTGACGTCAGTAGGGATGTTGTTGCAGACGTCAGTGGGAATGTTGTTGCAGACAACAGTGGGAATGTTGTTGCAGACATCAGTGGGGATGATGATGCAGACGTCAGTGGAGATGTTGTTGCAGACGTCAGTGGGAATGTTGTTGATTTGTTTCAAATTGAAAGAATAATAATATCCAGGCAATGTTATTTCAGAGCACCAGGGAAGAGCAGCAGCAAGGACATGAAGCCCTCGTACTGGGCCATCATGTGTCGGGAGAACGGGGACATGGAGGTGAGAGGAGGATGAATATACTGCTGGTGAATATGTGGCCTGGATGAATCATCACCTGTAGCTCCGACACCTTGCATTCACTACTGACTGTCACAATGTGTTTCTTGGTTCCAGATCTACAGCATGCCGGACTTCAAGCTGTGTTTCTATGTGAAGAACTTCCCCATGGGTCACAAGGTGCTGGTGGACAGTGGCCAGGTGGTCGACACGGCCGCAAAACAAAGGTGGGTGTTGCTCTTGTGGTAGAGGGTCCGCCCGGAGAGTGGAAGGTCCGGGGTTTGATCCCCGGTCATACCGAAAGACGTTTAAAGATGGTACTTGTTGTTACCCTGTCTTGCGCTCAGCATTAAGGGTCTAAAACAAGGTCTGGTCAGCTCGGAGTCAGTATGCTGTGTCAGAGTGGGGTATTCATGTTAAACTGTGGCATGGTATCTCAGTGAGCTAGCACTATAAATCGGCATCAATTCCAGACTAGTACAAGCAGCCACACACACACATGTGCATGCACGTCGTTATATAAGTGCAATAATCTTGGACGCGACATTAAACCCCATTTCACCTCGCTACCTCAGATCGTTGTGTTATTGTCATTGTGTCTTTGTGGTATCTTTTGCCTTTCTTGACCTGCAAAAATGTTGTATAATCAACCATTTTCTGCGATATTATGTTTAAACCACAGACCTATTCATACCTTGATAAAGATTGGTGATGCATTAGTATATGAATTGGTCCAACGGTGGTTTATCTGATATAATTCTACATGGACAAACAACATAAGCCTGACAGTAAAACCACTTGGTCACAGACTGTTGGGTTTGGGACAGTGTGCCATCCATCTTCTAAATTTTTTGATAATTTGACATTGCAGGTTTTGTCCAACACCACCATTTGACCAACTAGGTTGTTGCTCCAGATTCCATGATTTTACTATTTCTCTCAATAGCTGTTTCAACTAGATCTAGCTATCCTTCTGCAATTTGATGTTCAATGTTTGTTATTGTTTGAAGTTTGCTATTTTCCACGGTAGAATAGGTCTTCAGCCACCCAAGCTTGTCGTAACAGGCTACTAGTGGGATCTGGTGGTCAGGCTTGTTGACATGGTTGATGCATGTCATCGTATTCCAATTGTATGGATCGATGCTCATGATGTCAATCCCTGGATTGTCTGGTCCAGACTTGATTATTTACAGACCGCCGTCATATAGCTGGGATATTGCTGAGTGCGGCGTTTAACAACAAACAAACCAACAAATCCTTCTGCAGTTTGCGGTTTGTTGTTTGCTGTTGTTTGATGTCTGCTGTTTGTTGCAGTGCCAGCTTCAGCGACAAGTCCGGCATGGTGGGAGAGGTACACGAGGTGAAGGAGCTGCTGATGGTGGGGTTCGGACACAACAAGTCTCGCCCCTACCTCCTGGTGAGCATCCATTGCTATGAGAAAAGTGTATTTTCAAACCATTTTCATATTTAGCTCACCTGACTGAAAGTCAAGTGAGTTTATGTCCTGGTCTGTGTGTCCGGTGTCTGTCGTGAGCCATGAGTCGTCTGTCATAACATCTCCTCATGAATCTAGGAACCACTGAAGATGGAATTTCACGTACTTGTACGTACTCCCCATTTTGATCAAGAGGTTGGAATCTGATTTTCTTTTGTTTTTTGTTGTTTAACACCCCACTCAGCAATATTCCAGCTAAATGACGACAGTCTGTAAATACACCATTTACACCAAGCATGGGTTGCTGAAGATGTATGATTTTCAATATGGCCACCACACTGACAGCAACTTTTGTTAAGTGGCTGTCTTTGTTGAATCATTGAACTGTTGACTCATATCCAGGTGAGCTAAAGTGTGTGACACTATTTTTCAAGTGTCACTTTGTATATTCATGATCTGAGAATGATTGCTTTAGTATTGTGATACACCCAATCTTGTGATGGTCACTCACCACTATGGCATTGTGGGATTGTTTTCACAGAGTATACATATAGGAGTATACAAACAAATATTAAACTGGCATTAGTCCAGACTAGTACAAGCAGCCCCACACATGTGCATAATAAATGTAATAATCTTGAATGCGACGTTAAACTCCACAGCAGTAGAAACTATTGTGTCAGTCCACTAGTCCTTATAATGATAACGTGCAGCAAAACCTTTTAAAAATGGCATATTTCTACTTGTCCATATGATACCTTAACCATTTGGCAGTGTTGCATGGACTACGGGACTAGCTCTAATTTCTAATGCTGGACGTACTCCATGTGACTGTATGTTCCTCCTCCCAGGCCCGCGTGGAGGACTCACTGCTGATCTACGAGGCGTTCCCCTACCAGCAGGAGAACCTGTCGCGCACCGAGAACCACCTGAAGATCCGCTTCAAGCGCTACAACCACAACATCATGCTGAAGGAGAGGAGGCCGGCCAAGGGGAAGAAGAAGGACGACAAGGAGGAGGAGGAGAAGGTGGCCGTGTACTCCCAGCAACACCTGCGCTACTTCGAGGACGTGTCCGGCTACTCTGGTGTAAGTGTCGTACTCTGATCTGGTCACACTTATTAGAAATAGGTAGGGGTTGGTTTGCGTAGTGGTTAGAGTTTTCGCTTGTCATGTCGAAGGCAGGATGAAAAGATGATATGACTTAGGATCTCAAATATATTCAGTATTTTTCAAATTTGAAGTCAACATATATCTCGGATGCAATCAAATGTTTAAAAAAATATCGGGGGGTGGGGGGGGAGGCATGCGCCCAGACCCCCCTAGAGTTTTCCTCTTTTTGGGGGAAGTCAAAATAGCTGTGAAAATTATATGAATGTACCACTGAAAAACAGGTATGACACCAGGTGTCAAGAAATTGGTCAGCACGTCCTGCCCTACGGGTAGTACCTAACTTCACACCATCTGTATAAAAGTAAGTATGTATTGCCTGACGCCACACAGTAGTACTGCTATTGGATGGCGGCCTGTAAACAAACCCAATAATAAGGAACACCTTTGGGTAACCGTACCACTTGCTGTAGGTGCTTGAATTGCTTACTGTTGGTGGGAGGAACACCTGTCCTGGAGCATCGTGTGAGTAATGAAGGACTGCTTGCAGGTGTTCATCTGTGGCCCGTACCCCTTCTGGCTGTTCATGACGTCCAAGGGCTCCCTCAGAATCCACCCCATGAGCATCGACGGCGCTGTCACCAGTTTCACCTCCTTCCACAACATCAACTGTCCCAAGGGATTCCTGTACTTTAACAAGCAGGTGAGTGTCTCCTTGCCAGGTGTATAGCTCACAGGTGTGTACACTCACAGGTGTGTACACTCACAGGTGTGCTCACTAGCCAGGTGTGTAAACTCACAGGTGTGTACACTCACAGGTGTGTACACTCACAGGTGTGTACACTCACAGGTGTGTACACTAGCCAGGTGTGTAAACTCACAGGTGTGTACAGCACACGTGGGTTCAAATACCATTTTACTCCAATCATGTTTATAGGTTTGTCAGCACCATACCTGTGCTTGTGGATTTCACGCATGTGGTAAACGTCCAAGACCTGCATCACTGAATACTGTCCAAAGCGGTCTTAAATCCAACTCACTCACTCACTCACTCTTCTGCATATACATATCATATTGTGGTACCTGGATGCTGTTGTACACATTGATCTTAGTACTAAGGTGATCGTACCTCCCATACCTTAACATGGACTTACGACAGTCAGAGAGTTAAGGTTTCTTTGTACAACGGCACCCTGAATAACACATTTGGGATGTTTTGTGTGATACGTTATCCCCTTATTTTTTTCTCTTCCAGTCTGAGTTGCGTATCTGTGTGCTGCCCACTCACGTGACCTACGATGCTCCGTGGCCGATACGTAAAGTCCCGCTGCGCTGCACGCCCGTACACCTCACCTACCACTCCGACAGCAAGGTAGGGACAGACAACATGTTTTCATTCTTCAATGTTGAATCAATTTTTCTAGACACTAACTGGTCTTGCAGTTGATTGGCTGACAATAAGAATATCACGTATTTGATTGGAAATAAGTTTAGAAAACATATCGTTGTTTGGCTGACATTTATGATCATTTGTGGTTGATGGGTATGAGACTTTGTATTTGATTGGCTGACACTTGTGTTACTTTGAAATTGATTGGCCCGCAGCTATGGTCCCTTGTAGCTGATTGGTTGACAGTGATGCTATCTTGTAGCTGATTGGTTGACAGTGATGATATCTTGTCTTTGATTAGCTGATTTGTTGTGTGTATTCAGATGTATGCTGTAGTCACCAAGACGGCAGAGATCTGTAACCTGCTGCCCCGGACCACGTCGGACGAGCGAGAGTGGGACACAGTGGAGAAAGGTAATAAAATCTTGATGTGAATAGGAGTTAGTCGGTTCTAGGTTAGAATCTATACCGAGCAACTTCTGGCGGTCTACACCAATGGGATTCTGGGTTGGAATCTATACTCAGCAACCTCTGGCGGTCTACACCATGGGGATTCTGAGTTGGAATATATACTGAGCAACTTCTGGCGGTCTACACCATGGGTTGGAATCTATACCGAGCAACCACTGGCGGTCTACACCATGGGGATTCTGGGTTGGAATCTTTACCCAGCAACCTCTGGCGGTCTACACCATGGGGATTCTGGGTTGGAATCATTACCCAGCAACCTCTGGCAGTCTACACCATGGGGATTCTGGGTTGGAATCTTTACCCAGCAACCTCTGGCGTTCTACACCATGGGGATTCTAGGTTGGAAGCTATACCTAGCAACCACTGGAGGTCTACACCATGGGGATTCTGGGTTGGAATCGTTACCCAGCAACCACTGGAGGTCTACAACATGAGGATCCTGGGTTGGAATCTTTACCCAGCAACCTCTGGCGTTCTACACCATGGGGATTCTGGGTTGGAAGCTATACCTAGCAACCACTGGAGGTCTACACCATGGGGATTCTGGGTTGGAATCGTTACCCAGCAACCACTGGAGGTCTACAACATGAGGATCCTGGGTTGGAATCGTTACCCAGCAACTTCTGCCGGTCTACACCATTGGGATTCTGGGTTGGAATCTATACCGAGCAACCTCTGGCGGTCTACCAATGGGGATCCTGGGTTGGAAGCTATACCGAGCAACTTCTGCCGATCTACACCATGGGGATTCTGGGTTGGAATCGTTACCCAGCAACCCGTGGAGGTCTACACCATAGGGATTCTGGGTTGGAATCGTTATCCCAGCAACCCGTGGAGGTCTACACCATGGGGATTCTGGGTTGGAATCGTTACCCAGCAACCTCTGGAGGTCTACACCATGGGGATCCTGGGTTGGAATCTATACCCAGCAACCTCTGGCAGTCTACACCATGAGGATTCTGGGTTGGAATCTATACCCAGCAACCTCTGGCGGTCTACACCATGGGGATTCTGGGTTGGAATCTATACCCAGCAACCTCTGGAGGTCTACACCATGGGGATTCTGGGTTGGAATCGTTACCCAGCAACCTCTGGCGGTCTACACCATGGAGATTCTAGGTTGGAATCATTACCCAGCAACCTCTGGAGGTCTACACCATGGGGATTCTGGGTTGGAATCTATACCGAGCAACTTCTGGCGGTCTACACCAATGGGATTCTGGGTTGGAATCTATACTCAGCAACCTCTGGCGGTCTACACCATGGGGATTCTGAGTTGGAATATATACTGAGCAACTTCTGGCGGTCTACACCATGGGTTGGAATCTATACCGAGCAACCACTGGCGGTCTACACCATGGGGATTCTGGGTTGGAATCGTTAGCGAGCAACTTCTGGCAGTCTACACCATTGGGATTCTGGGTTGGAATCTATACCCAGCAACCTCTGGAGGTCTACACCATAGGGATTCTGGGTTGGAATCGTTACCCAGCAACCTCTGGAGGTCTACACCATGGGGATTCTGGGTTGGAATCGTTACCCAGCAACCACTGGAGGTCTACACCATGGGGATATTGGGTTGGAATCGTTACCCAGCAACCTCTGGAGGTCTACACCATGAGGATTCTGGGTTGGAATCTATACCCAGCAACCTCTGGCAGTCTACACCATGGGGATTCTGGGTTGGAATCGTTACCCAGCAACCCGTGGAGGTCTACACCATGGGGATTCATGGTTGGAATCTATACCCAGCATCTTATGGTGGTCATAAGAAGCGACCTTGTTTATTGGTGGTCCGACTCGGTTACTTGGTTGATTGTGTCTCATCGTACCCTGGTGCCGTGCATCATTGCTCACAATATCAACATATTGAACACTTGATTGTCTGTTCCTGACTTGATAATGTTCAGTCAAATAGCTGAGTGCAGCGTTAAACAACAAGAACAAAATCAAAACAACTTGTTGAAAGGATCACTTATATTTGATATTGATGATGATCCGTGAAGATCCAGGGTAGAATAGGTCTTCAGCAACCCATGCTTGCCGTAAATGGTGACTATGCTTATAGTAAGAGGCGACTAATGGGATCGGGTGGTCAGGCTCACTGACTTGATTGAAGCATGTCATTGTATCCCAGTTGTGCAGATCGATGCTCATGATGTCAATCCCTGGATTGTCTGGTTCAGACTTGATTATTTACAGACCGCCATCATATAGCTGGAATATTGCTAAAACAGTTTTCTCTGTTGTGTCGTCAAATATCTTTTGGTATTAATTTGTATTTTGACATTTCTTTTTTTATGGAGTAAAGATAAAATGTGTTCATTAAACAGACTTCGGCCTGTTTTCATAAGCATTCAAGATACCTTCATGAAGATGTGCAGATTGTACAGTGCAAGTGGAATCTGTTGTCAAGTTGAATGTCTCCCCCCATGTTCATGAATCTGTTGTCCAGTTGAATGTCTCCCCCGTGTTCATGAATATGTTGTCAAGTTGAATGTCTCCCCCCATGTTCATGAATCTGTTGTCAAGTTGAATGTCTCCCCCATGTTCATGAATCTGTTGTCAAGTTGAATGTCTCCCCCCATGTTCATGAATCTGTTGTCAAGTTGAATGTCTCCCCCGTGTTCATGAATCTGTTGTCAAGTTGAATGTCTCCCCCATGTTCATGAATCTGTTGTCAAGTTGAATGTCTCCCCCATGTTCATGAATCTGTTGTCAAGTTGAATGTCTCCCTCATGTTCATGAATCTGTTGTCCAGTTGAATGTCTCCCCCATGTTCATGAATCTGCTGTCAAGTTGAATGTCTCCCCCATGTTCATGCATCTGTTGTCAAGTTGAATGTCTCCCCCATGTTCATGAATCTGTTGTCAAGTTGAATGTCTCCCCCATGTTCATGCATCTGTTGTCAAGTTGAATGTCTCCCCCATGTTCATGCATCTGTTGTCAAGTTGAATGTCTCCCCCATGTTCATGAATCTGTTGTCAAGTTGAATGTCTCCCCAATGTTCATGATTCTGTTGTCAAGTTGAATGTCTCCCCCATGTTCATGAATCTGTTGTCAAGTTGAATGTCTCCCCATGTTCATGAATCTGTTGTCAAGTTGAATGTCTCCCCCGTGTTCACGATTGTTGTCAAGTTGAATGTCTCCCCCGTGTTCATGAATCTGTTGTCAAGTTGAATGTCTCCCCCATGTTCATGATTCTGTTGTCAAGTTGAATGTATCCACATGTTCATGAATCTGTTGTCAAGTTGAATGTATCCACATGTTCATGAATCTGTTGTCAAGTTGAATGTCTCCCCCATGTTCATGAATCTGTTGTCCAGTTGAATGTCTCCCCCATGTTCATGAATCTGTTGTCAAGTTGAATGTCTCCCCCATGTTCATGAATCTGTTGTCAAGTTGAATGTCTCCCTCATGTTCATGAATCTGTTGTCAAGTTGAATGTCTCCCTCATGTTCATGAATCTGTTATCAAGTTGAATGTCTCCCCCGTGTTCATGAATCTGTTGTCAAGTTGAATGTCTCCCCCATGTTCATGAATCTGTTGTCAAGTTGAATGTCTCCCCCATGTTCATGGACCTGTGTTTATACTTCAGAGGAGCGCTACATCTTCCCGACGATGGACAGGTACACTCTACAGCTGTTCACCCCCAGCTCGTGGGAGCTCATCCCCAGGGCCAGGTGCGTAGTTGAAGATGTAGCTGATGACGTAGTTGATGATGTAGTAGGTGATGGTGTAGATGGCCTGCAAAAATAAGGAGTGCTGAAATAAGTTAATGCTATCTATATCTCTTTGACATTGATAACCTGTTTGGTGATATTTTCTGCATAGTTTTAGTGACCATTGTAACAAAAATTACAAAAAAAGCAATATGAGCAGTTTTCTGTTTGCCAACTATGTTTGTTCTGTGTTGCAGCTATGAGACGGAGGAGTGGGAGGACGTCACGGTGCTGAAGAATGTCATGTTGAAGTCCGAGGGAACGCTGTCTGGCATCAAGGGGTATATTGCCATGGGAACCAACTACAGCCTCGGGGAGGAGGTGGTGTCAAGGGGAAGGGTAGGTGATACTTACGTGGAATCTGGGGCAGAACAGGTCCCCAGTACCCCTTGATGGCCATATTCTCATATCCCTTGCTGTCATATTCTCGTACCCTGTGCTGGTCATATTCTCATATCCCTTGCTATCATATTCTCGTACCCCGTGATGGTCATATTCTCATATCCCTTGCTATCATATTCTTGTACCCCGTGATGGCCATATTCTCATATCCCTTGCTATCATATTCTCATACCCTGTGCTGGTCATATTCTCGTATCCCTTGCTGTCATATTCTCGTACCCTGTGCTGGTCATATTCTCGTATCCCTTGCTGTCATATCCTTTGACGTAATAGCAGGTTGGCTACAGTGTCCTCTCACTCACTGGCTCAGTTTTTCATTCTCTTGTGGCGATTCCGGGGCAGAATGTTCTTATTCTGCACCTGATAAATCTAACTGAGAACAGTGTAAGACAACAATGTTCAATGTATGTTATACACTGCTCCCGGTGAGGATGCTGATAGATAGACATGCTGTCATGTAGGTAAGCTCTCCATCTTCTGTCTTGCAGCTGATTATATTTGAGGTGATAGAAGTTGTTCCTGAGCCCGGTCAGCCCCTCACGAAGACCAGGATCAAGGTGAGTGCTGGTGTCGCAGGAGACATCCTGGGTCCTCTACAGCCAATAGTCTATGCTGTGGTGAAGTTCATGTACTGGAATTAGGATAAATACTCAATGAAATTTTCACTTCTAACATCAGTGGTATCTAATCATTTATTTTATGCTATGAGAAAATACTGACATCTTTGACTTTTTTATGAAATTCATTTGTTATCCCCCGTAACACCTGCTCTGGAAACAACATCTTGCATGGATGGACGTACAGAATGTCCTGATATCTAAACATAACAACATGGTCCCCCTAGGTTCAAAACAACAGGTTCTCTGTATATAACTAGTTGATATTCACAAGTACTTACCATTGTTGGCGATATCGATTACTTTGTCCTCTCCTTGTCATTAAACATGTTTTCAAACAAATACAGAATCTCACCCAAATGTCTTTTGATATCAAATATATCATCAACCCGACTTACTCACTAGTGCTTGTATACAGCTGTAGAGTCACTATAATGCTTGATGTATTTCTGTCTGTTGCCAGATCATCTATGAGAGAGAACAGAAGGGCCCGGTCACCTGCTTGTCTCATGTCAACGGCTTCCTGCTGTCGGCCATAGGACAGAAGGTAGATATCTGTGTCAAAACTCAGGGTCTTGGTACAGCTGTACTAAGATGCACGACAGACCAGGGGTGAAGGACGGTTGCCCTGTTGGGAGTCCGGGCTAGAATAGGTCCTCGCACCCTATTGTGGTTGAATGAGGCGACTGGTTGGATCAGCAGGTCAGGCCCGGTGTATTAGTTGATCGTGTCTCATTGTTCCCTGATGCCATGGACCTTTGCTCATAATATCAATCACAGGATTGTCTGGTCCATACAGGTTTATTTACTTTCTGACACCATACACTTTAAATATTGCTGCGCAGTTAATTAACAGACGGGAGAAATGATGAAGCGTTCTGCTGGATTTTATGGGGTGTTTTTCTCATCAGTGTATTTGTGCTACAGTTCTTTGTTTCAATTAATATTGTAATAATTGTAATTTGGTGATATTACACCAGTAGCATTAACCAGGATGAGACACAACCACACACATCATGTACAGGATTGTCATCAAGGGCTGATTGAATGTTTCTTGGAGATTTTGTGGATTTATTAAATTAAAAGTAAATGGTAGATTTCATAGGAAAACCAGACTGACTAAGAGAAGCCTGTGTGTTTGTGAAATATCTGATGCACAGATGCAGTCACAGAGTACATAGAAAACATGTCAGTGATGACGAGTGATTATACTTTATCAGGATATACATGAAATAGTACAGTAGGTAATTAACATTTCATCCAGATAAAGTTCTGCTACATGTCGTCTGTTTTGCAGCACAGCTAGATCTTTGATCCCATCAATAGCTTATCAACCTGTGAAGATTCGGGTAGAGAATAGGTCTTCAGCAACCCATGCTTACTGTAAAAGTCATAAGTGGCCACTAACGGGATCGGGTGGTCAGGCTCGCTGACTTGGTTGATGCATGTCATCGTATCCAAATTGCGTGGGTCGAAGCTCATGATGTCAATCACTGGATTGTCTGATCCAGACGCAATTATTTACAGACTGCTGTCATATAGCTGGAATATTGCTGAGTGCTGCGTCAAACCAACAAACAAAGAATAGCTTATCCATATATTTAGTGAAGAGGTCATGCACTTTAGACTGTGGCACTTTCACCTCCAACCTATGACCTAGTTGTCTGTGTCACTCTCCAGGTACGTGCAGCACTGTAGTATGAAGTGGGATATACTCGTGACCCAGGTGACAAATCCCTACTGGATTAAAGCTATAGCTGTGCTCTATGTTGGAGTGAAACCTGTCACTACACAAACTATGGGAAGAGATATATATCTTGAAATGTTTGTTTTCAGTTGTACATGTGGACGTTGAAGGACAACGACCTGATTGGCGTGGCCTTCATCGACACTCATATCTACATCCACTCCCTCTGTGTCATGAAGAATCTCATCCTGGCCGGGGACCTCCTCAAGAGCATCTCACTGTACCGCTTCCAGGAGGACCTCAAAGTCCTGTCCATTGTCAGCAGGGTAAGTGTCCATCGTCAGCAGGGTAAGTGTCCATCGTCAGCAGGGTAAGTGTCCATCGTCAGCAGGGTAAGTGTCCATCGTCAGCAGGTAGCTGTGAGATCTTCACAGAATGATGTAAAATCAAATGACCATCATTTCTTTATGTTCCCAAGGATCGAACACACAATCTTATTATATGAAGCCCAGTAAGTGTAGCACTAGGCTGCAGAGGCGCTGATCAATCCCAATGCTTTTAAAAATGTCTTTTTCAAATACCTAACGCCAGCAATAGATATTTTACGCCCGTTTCCTAAGGTCAATGGAAAGTATGTTTGAAACATTGATTAGATACGACACTTCCCATTGGGTTTTTATGATATTTAAAACCCTTATCCCACTTATGTGGATTTTAGATATCACAAAACCCCTCGGACATGCTTTATCCTGCACATGAAGGACGGGTTTGTGAAGGACAGGTTTGTGAAGGACGGGTTTGTGAAGGACGGGTTTGTGAAGGACAGGTTTGTGAAGGAAGGGTTTGTGAAGGACAGGTTTGTGAAGGACAGGTTTGTGAAGGACAGGTTTGTGAAGAAAGGGTTTGTGAAGGACAGGTTTGTGAAGGACAGGTTTGTGAAGGAAGGGTTTGTGAAGGACAGGTTTGTGAAGGAAGGGTTTGTGAAGGACAGGTTTGTGAAGGACAGGTTTGTGAAGGAAGGGTTTGTGAAGGAAGGGTTTGTGAAGGACAGGTTTGTGAAGGACAGGTTTGTGAAGCACAAGTCCAGTGGCAGGTATTTACTGACTGTTGCAGTGTAGCTGTGACAATGCTGACCCTGGAACAAACAACTTTTACTCACTCACTGTTGAAATGAACTGCTTGCTATACAGTAGATTGTATTGCATGCTAGCCCTTTAGTATGGCCAGGGACTTCTTATTGCTATGTGCTTCCTGGCCTAGAGACCTAGAGAGCTGGTTCAATGCCGACTCAATACATGTGACCACTACTACAAGTAGGTCTGTTGCCAGAGTCCCCATACGTAGCCTGAACCTGTGTTGTTGTTCTCCTTCCAGGACATCAAGCCCCTGGAGGTGTACGCCATCGACTTCATGGTGGACAACAACCAGGTCTGCTTCGCTGGTGAGTAGCGCCACTTTGGCTGGTGAGTTGCCGATGTGACATTAAATTCTAACTCACTCACTACTGCTGTTGTGTATTTCTGCCCTGGCTGTTCTGCTAGTGAGTGGTTTTGGCTGTTCCTTTGAAGCCATGTTGGTGAACTGGTAAGTTGTACTTCTTGTGAGAGGTGTTTCAGAGTGGGGATCGGGTGGCCACAATGGCTGTAACGTCGGTCCTGACTCACCCACTGTTTGACTAGTACCAGCTTCCAGTGTGTCTGTGTTTATAGTGACTGACAGCTGTTGTTTTGTGTTTCAGTATCAGACAGATTCAAGAATATCATTGTGTATTCCTACCAACCAGAAGGTGAGTGTTGCTTTTCTAAGAGTTTGCTTGTTTGTTTCATGTACTAATGCTGCACTCTGCAATATTCCAGCTATATGACGGCAGTCTGTATATATAATCAAGTGAGGGCCAGATAATCCAGTGATTGATATCATGAGCTATGATCCATGTCATCCGGGCCAAATGAGTCCAACTACTGATCAAGCAGTTCGCCTCTTACTACCAGCCTAAGGTGCTGGGTACCGATTCCAAGCTGGAAGCCCCATATGTAGACCTCCAGAGGTTGCTGGGTACCACTTCCAACCCAGAATTGGGATACGATGACATGCATCAATCAAGTCAGCGAGCCTGACCACCCCATCCCGTTAGTCGCCGTTCGTCACCTCTTACAACAAGCATAGTTGCACTTTGCAGCGAGCATGGGTTGCTGAAGACCTATTCTACCCTGGATCTTACTCGTCTCTGAGGCTCCGTCCTGGTTATGAGTTACAACAACAGGACTCTAGGCAGTCATAGTTTTCTTTGGGTATTCAATAATTTTTACTCCCTTGTGCCCAGTCTTTTGGGTATTTTTAAAACAGCAAAAATATCTTTGTTTAAAGGGGCGGTCAGGTAGCCTAGTGGTTTAAGCGGTCGCTCGTCATACCAGAGACCCGGGTTCGATTCCCAACATGGGTACAATGTGTGAAGCCCATTTCTGGTGTCCCCCGCCGTTATATTGCTGGAATATTGCTAAAAGTGGCATAAAACCATACTCACTCACTCATTCTTTGTTTAAATGCTGTTTGAGGTGACTTCTAAAGTACATCTGCTCCCGTGCTCCCTGAAGCGTGTCACATGTTGCATAAACTCACAAAGGCAATAAGTGATAGCGTATGCATTATTCACTGCAGTGGAGGTCCTGTACCTTAATACCTGCATTCAGTCAGAACATAAAAATTAGGCTACACAAGCTGTCAATGCAACATTGGGTAATCATGCAGAGTGTTGAGGTTTTTGTAAACATTCATGCTCAGACTTAATTGGGTTATGGTAATATATTTTGCATATTTTATGCACGTACCCCGCTAGTCTGGAGTAGTCCAGTACAGGCAGCGCCATGCATGTCCTGTACGTGTCCCGGCCTGCCAGCTGCTGAATGCCATTAGACCCGGCCACTGGGAGGGGACTCCATGTACAATTCTGTTGTCTCACTTGCTGTCACTGTCAGTCCAATTACATCTCAAATGTCGAGTTGACTTCGTAATTCGGAAATAACAGACTTGTAACATTTTTATTTTATTTTTATTTTACATATTTTATTTTAAGAACAGATACAATATGATGTCATATTGAGGGTTTTGCTGTATGGTATGTTAGTTTAGGCTGCTTTATGCAGTTCTTTAGTTTTTAGAGAATTTGTTCTGGAGATATGGCGCTCCGGTTGGTGTCAGTGAAACAGTCACTGGTGTGTTGGGAAAATTGTAAAACGTTAACTCCTTCCACCAAACACTAAGGTTTGATTCTCTACCCTTCTACAATTGATGGAGACAATTGTTGGTGTCCGTGTCATCGTGTTGTGTAAATCGTGCAAGAAAAGCAACAACCAATCATTCTGAGTGAGTCGCAGTGTCGGGGAATAACGGTTGTATAATCCTGTTCCAGCTCGGGAGAGTCACGGGGGTCAGAGGTTACTACGCAGAGCGGACTTCAACGTCGGATCTCACATCAGCAGCATGTTCCGAGTCCGATGTCGTCTCACCGACATCGCCAGTGACAAGAAACTGATGACGCTGTATGAAAAGCGGCATATTACTTACTGTGGTGAGAATGTCATTATTAGCTATTTCAGTATAAGAGCAGCTGTTCAGTGTTCAACATCATGCAGGGGTATCTGGGACACTCCATGTGACCAGGGGGCACGGTGGCCCAGTCGTCTACGGCGCCCCAATTCGCAGTGCAGAGTTGTTTCTCTTAGGCATGCCAGAAACCTATGATTGTGGGTTCGAATGTCGGATCACCCCAATGATGTTTCTAGGTTTGTCAGTACCGTCCCGCTGCTCATGGGTTTCACCGAAGTGGTAAAGGTCTTATCCCTGTATCACTTCAGGCTTTCCTCCCACATTAAGCTGTGAGGTTGTGATATAACTGGAATACAGTTAAAAGTGGTGTTAACCCAACTCACTCACTCACCGGGTGACTCAAAGCTAAGTAGGATACTTTTTGTGTGAAAAATCAGTCCCCCCAAGAAGCAGGATTCTCAGTGAAATACTTATCATCCTTTTAATTTATGAAAGAAAGAATGTATTTGCTACATTAGTGAACCTCCATTAGTGAACCTCCATTAGTGAACCTCCATTAGTGAACCTCCATTAGTGATTAAGCAGTAGAAACTAACAGTTTTAGTCCTCTAGTCCTCACAATGATAACATACAGCTAAACCCTGTAAAAGGGCAGATGTCTACTAGTCCTTATGATACCTTAACTATTGGGCAGTTTGGCAAGGACTACAAGACTAGTGCCGATGTATAACGCTGAGTTAAACAGTGTCTCACATCACACCAAACAACCGCCTCCATGGTCTCGTGGTAGAGCGTCCACGCGGAGAGCGGAAGGTCCCAGGTTCGATCCGCGGCCGCGTCATACCAAAAGACGTTAAAAGAGGGTACTTGTTGTTACCCTGTCTGGCGCTCGGCATTAAGGGGCTAAAACAAGGACTGGTCGGCTCGGAGTCAGTAAACTGTGTCTGAGTGGGGTATTCATGTTAAGTTGCAGCATGGTATCTCAGTTGGCTAGCACTATAAATCGGCATCAGTCCGGACTAGTACAAGCAGCCACACAAACACACACACGTACATGCTCGTCGCTATATAAGTGCAATAATCTTGGACGCGACGTTAAACCCAATTTCACCTCACCTCACTGGCTCCAGCTGTTTGGTTTTGTCCATGTTGACTTACAGTTTTATACAGGGTATGACCACTCTGTGCCACATTGTAGATGCTGTGTGTTGCCATGGGACACCAACTGTAAGCATAATTGTGCCATGTAGAGTGTCCTACAGAAACTGACCGTTGCTGTTGGTGGGGTAGCCCTGTGGGTAATGCACTTGCCCAAAGACTCAGGTTCAGTATCTGCATGGTGTTGTGTGAGGATATTCATAGTCTTGTTGATTTCTCACTCTGTCTTGATTTTCATTTTAAATTCAACTGTACATTTTTTACTCTCTCTTTGCAGCCAGCCTTGATGGGAGCCTGGGTTATCTGATGCCCATCTCGGAGAAGGTGTACCGCCGCCTGCTCATGTTGCAGAACGCCATGACAACACACGTGCCCCACACGGCTGGATTGAACCCTAAAGCTTACAGGTAAATAATCATCAGAGGTATCAAATCACAATAACTGCCTCTGATTGGTTTTGTGTTAATAAAAATAAAACAATGTTCAGTTCTATATTACAATTAACCTTACAGGTAATTAATCATTCTACCATGAATTTGGTAATCACTCAATGTTGACTGGTCCATCAGAGGTATCAAATCCCAATAACCACCTCTGATTAAAACTGCCGATTTGTGTGAATAAAATAACATAATGTTTGGTTCCAAATTACAAGAAAGCCAGCTCTACATTGAAAGCAGGCTTATATCCTAACTGGTTGATGATATCTGTTTGGATAAGGAAATGTATCTTGTTTAAATATAAGTAAAACCTTGTATTTGGAGGTTGATGATTTAGACCTATGTAGTGTTGTTTGTAGTTATTAAACCCAAACGTATTATTGGATGTGGAACATTTTTTAAAAGCTTTTATCATCCTTCATTGGTGTTTATGAATATTACATGTGAAGCCCGGTTTGGTAGATATGTTGTCAAAAGCAGGGTAAAATGCTATTTACTCCAGTTATGTTGAGAATACTTCCTTAATTGACTTGTGTATGGATAATAGCCATCCCTGTTGGCCACAGTGTACCTTGGACCTTTAAAGATCCGGGTTTGAATTGGCCATAAAAGGCAACTAACAGGATCGGGTGGTCAGGCTCGCTGACTCGGTTTGCATGGAAGTTGTGGAACTACTATTACGTTTGTTGCCAGGGCCATATTGTTGTGCATCCCCGAGCTGGCCAACCCCCACAAGAACATTCTGGATGGGGAGCTCCTGTGGAAATACCTACACCTCAGCATTCTGGAGAAAAATGAGATCTCCAAGAGGATTGGAACGTCCACTGACCAGGTGAGCTATAGAAACGTCTGCTGACCAGGTGAGCTATAGGAACGTCTGCTGACCAGGTGAGCTATAGGAACGTCCACAGACTTGGTGAGATGTAGGAACATCCACCAACCAGGTGAGCTTTGGGAACGTCCACTGACCAAGTGACCTATGGGAATGTTCACTGACATGTGAGCTATGGGAATGTCCACTGACTAAATGGGGTGTAGGAATGTCCACTGACCAGGTTAGTTATAGGAATGTTCACTTACCAGGTGAGCTATGGGAATGTTCACTGACTAAGTGGGGTGTAGGAATGTTCACTGACCAGGTGAGCTATGGGAATGTCCACTGACCAGGTGAGTAATAGGAGTGTTCACTGACCAGGTGAGCTATGGGAATGTCCACTGACCAGTTGAGCTATGGGAATGTCCACTGACCAGTTGAGCTATGGGAATGTCCCCTGACCAGTTGAGCTATGGGAATGTCCACTGACCAGTTGAGCGATGGGAACGTCCACTGACAAGGTGAGCTATGGGAATGTTCACTGACCAGGTGAGCTATAGGAATGTCCACTGACCAGTTGAGCTATGGGAATGTCCACTGACCAGTTGAGCTATAGGAACGTCCACTGACCAGGTGAGCTATGAGAATGTTCACTGACCAGTTGAGCTATAGGAACGTTCACTGACCAGGTGAGCTATGAGAATGTTCACTGACCAGTTGAGCTATAGGAACGTTCACTGACCAGGTGAGCAATGGGAACGTCCACTGACCAGTTGAGCTATAGGAACGTTCACTGACCGTTGAGCTATGGGAATGTCCACTGACCAGTTGAGCTATAGGAACGTTCACTGACCAGGTGAGCTATGGGAATGTCCACTGACGAAGTGGAGTGTAGGAATGTCCACTGACAAGGTTAGTTATAGGAATGTTCACTGACCAGGTGAGCTATGGGAATGTCCACTGACTAAGTGGGGTGTAGGAATGTTCACTGACCAGGTGAGGTATGGGAATGTCCAATGACCAAGTGGGGTGTAGGAATGTCCACTGACCAGGTGAGTTATAGGAGTGTTCACTGACCAGGTGAGCTTTGGGAATGTCCACTGACCAGTTGAGCTATGGGAATGTCCACTGACCAGTTGAGATATGGGAATGTCCACTGACCAGTTGAGCTATGGGAATGTTCACTGACCAGTTGAGCTATAGGAACGTTCACTGACCAGGTGAGCTATGGGAATGTTCACTGACCAGTTGAGCTATAGGAACGTTCACTGACCAGGTGAGCTATGGGAATGTCCACTGACCAGTTGAGCTATAGGAACGTTCACTGACCAGGTGAGCTATGGGAATGTTCACTGACCACGTGAGCTATATGAACGTCCACTGACCAGGTGAGCTATGGGAATGTCCACTGTCCAGGTAAGCTATGGGAATGTCCACTGACCAGTTGAGCTATAGGAACGTTCACTGACCAGGTGAGCTATGGAAAAGTCCTCTGACCAGGTGAGCTATAGGAATGTCCACTGACCAGGTGAGCCTGTTGAGCTGATGATGGAGGAGGTTATGATAATAATTCTTCCCCCTGTGTCAGAAACCATTAAGATATTAAATAGAGTATACTTGAGTTCCTCTTTTAATCACATTGTAATATAGGTTTCCTAGATAATAAAGTCTTTCTTTAAGTAACATGCTGACATGAGGGAGGAAAACCCAATGTCAAAGTTGACTTGAGGCCAACATGATGTGGAATAAAGATGTTATTTATTATTTAGGATATGATCTTTGATGTTTTGGCTGCGTGTTTTTTATGTAAGAAATGCCTTAGATTTAAGACAAATATACAAATAATTTGATTTTAAACTTAAGTGGGAATTCCTTGAAAACATCACTGAAATTAGTAGTGTCTTATGATACATACACAGAATCACGTCATTGAATTTTTTTCAGATTTTATTTACATGAGCGTATCCTTTTCTTGACATGATATACATATATTCAAATAAAATCACGTCTCAAACCCCTTGCCATTAAATCCCGTAGAGCACCATCTGTTTGAGGCAAACTTAATACTGAAAAAACAAGCACCCGTAACTTAGAAGCCATTAAGGTAAAAGAATTTGTTTTTACAATTATTTTATGTTCAAAGTGTATGTGTATAATTTATTGAAACTTGTCCCTAAAGTGGCAACATAATTGTGCGGCTACCAGTTATGTGAATGTGATATTGGATAATAAACACCATCAATATTCATTACTGACACACATCAAGTCCCATCACACACGCTTAATTCAATATTCATCCTTTCAGATAATGGATGACTTAATGGAGATAGACCGAGCAACGGCCCACTTTTAATTCTCCATCAACCCACCAACTGACAGTGTTTGTCTTGGGCCTACTTGACAGGAGTTATCTCCCCTGAGAGAAGTCTTATGTACAGAGTGCCAATACCACGACCTGGGTTGTGTGCGAGCTCTGAGACGTTGGTCACCTCAAACCTTCTAACCCATCATGCTGAAACTCAGAGTATAATTGTATAAAACTCCAGATCAGAGGACAGTGACACAGATCAGTGTAATGTTTGGGTAACTGTTGAGACAGATATGAATTATGGATTAATCCAACTGAACAGCTGTTGAAGGAAGCTAGGGTGCCGGTGTCACAAGAAGAGTGCCCAGTGCTAGTTTGAAGACAAACATGCTGTGCTAGTGGATGGAGTTGACCAACTCCAGTGTAAATTGACTGACTTCAAATCAAATTGTTTATAAGTTTCATTCAGCTGTCACTACTTTGTTTTCATTGTGTACATAATCATCACATGTGTTTTGACGTCTCTCGTTGTACATACATAACGTATGTAAATACAGAATAAAACACAAGATGTACTGCTATTAGGCCTTTAAAGAGACAGTTCCTTCACTGTAGTGTGAGTTTTTGTTGTTGTTTATCACAGCACTCCGCAATTTTCTACCTATATGACTGTGGCATGTAATTAATCACCACAAACTAGTAATACATATTATGAGAAACAGTCGGCGGTCTGGTCAGGCTCAGTGACTTGGTTGATGCTTGTCATCATATTCATTGGTGGATCGATGCCCATGATGTTAATCACTGGATTGTCTGGTCCAGACTCGATTATTTACAGACGGCCGTCATATAACTGGAAAGTAGCAGAGTGCAATGTTAAACAACAAACAACAAAGCATAGTTTACTCGGGGCCTTTTAGACCCCAGACTCCGATGGGGTTGTGTGTGAGGGGATGCGCTGGAATGATTGAGTTAAAATGTGTCATGGGCAATATTTCAGTCATATAGCCACGATGGGGGATGTGCTGGAGACGTGGGCAGTGTTACCAGGACACCCCATGACGCTGTTGTTAGACCGACTCCCAAAGGGAGGTGTAAAATGTGTCATGATTGCTGGTAAGAGAATCTAGCGATGTGACTTGCACATCTAATTGGGTTTTATACCCACACAAGTTGCAGGCTTGGACTGACACGACCAACCAACCGGTGCAGTACTTGATGTAATTGTGTCCGCGGGAAGGAGTGCCGGTCCTTGTATTTCGGTCTTGAGGCAAACAAGTTATTTCATTCATGATTATCGTGACCTACAATTTATTTTCATGGGGTTGAGAACAAAGTTCTATCATTTTATTGTTTGAATATGGCTGACTGTGGGCACAGGCGACCCCTTTTCATCTGGCTTTGAATCCCAGATTCATCTTAATTACATTCCTTGTTTTGTCATCACCATACACGTGCTCGTGGTTGTACAAGTAGTGAGTGAGTGAGTATGGTTTTACGACGCTTTTAGCAATATTCCAGCAATATCATGCTTGGGGACACCAGAAATGGGCTTCACACATTGTACCCATGTGAGGAATCGAACCCCGCCCTTCGTGTGATGAGCGAACGCTTTTACCACTAGGCTAGCCCATCGCCCCAGTACCAAGTAGTAACGGTCTAAGGCCTGCATCACTTGGACTGGCCTTCATTGCTACCTGACATGCCATGATAAATCTGAGTAACTGTTCAGGATGGTGTTCATACTCATTGAACCCATGAAGAGTGCGTGAGTGAGTTGAGTTTAATGCTGCTTTTAACAATGTTGCAGTTATAACAAGGCATGTCAGCTTGATGTGAGAGGAAAGCCCGAAGTGATGCAGGTCTCAGACGTTTACCACTTCGGTGAAACCCACGAGCACGGTTATGGTGCTGACAAATCTAGAAACAAAATCGGGGCGAACCGGGATTCGAACCCACAATCATAGGTTTCTGCCGTGCCCAAGGGACGCAACTCTACATAGCGAATTGCGGCGCATTACACGACTGGGCCACCCGTGCACCCCCGAACCCATGAAGATCTGGGGAGAGATTTGGTCTTCAGCAACCCATGCCTGTGAGAGACGGCTAACGGGAACGGATGGTCAGGTGCGCTGACTTGGTTGATGCATGTCATCGTATCCCAACTGCGTGTATCAGTCGTCCTCTTATTGCTGGAATATTGCTGGAATATTGCTAAGAGCGGTGTTAAATAACATACAAACCAATAAAAGTGCCTCATCGATCGCACTCATAGAGTTGGCTTTTGACTTAATATATGTCCACTTGTATCAATATATTTGGAATCAAACCGTAGGTATGACATCTTCTGATTTGTAGGTGGCGATGTAATCTCATTAAATCAGACATTCAATCTGATGATGCGATACCTTGACGCATAGGGGTATCGTATACGAGTAAAAGATCTGATTTTAGCAAGATTAGGGCGGTAGATTTTCAACAGCCTGCCTCTTTACTGCCAACGTGTCTAATTAGTTATAAGGTAAACCGTATCCTCAGTGTCAACGCAACTGCGCAATACGTAACTTTTTCATGTGTGTCCTGATAAAAAGGAAGAAATATCACATCTTAGCACTTTTGGGGCACTGTGACTTTTTGAGATAATCTTTAAGACACGATACAGACAAGCTGAGAGTTGGGCTGTTTAAGAAACAAGATGTTATTTAACGTCGCACAATGCAAAATTTCAGCTAAATGACGGCGGTCTGTAAATAATTGAGTCTGGATCAGACAATCCAGTGATTGACATCATGAGTATCCATCTACGCATTTATTATAGGATACGATGACATGCATCAACCAAGTCAGCGAACCTGACCATCCGATCCCGTTAGTCGCCTCTTACGCCAATAATTGGTTGCTGAAGACCTATTTTCAAACCGATCTTCACGGGTCCGTTGTAAGTAGTTAGCTGCGAGCCGTATTGTGGGAGACCGACTCCCCCCATCCGGTGTGTGCTCACAGTGTGTGGAATAGAACGCCAGTATCATCTGAAAAACAACAAATACTTCTTGGTTTAAAAAGGCCAACCTGCCAATACTCATCCCGTTTCGCAGCTTTTTACTATTCCATCATTTTTATAAGCAAATAAAATGCAATACATATCTAATTGCTACCACAGTCAACCCATTGCAATAAAGTCAATAACAGCAATATTGAGACAGCACCAAACACGGGTGGCATTTGCAACTGTGAGAATGCACCTCGGGACAGGTGTTATGTAAATATCTCAGTCCGCTTCATACATGCATGACAACACACAAATATTTTCTAAGTTTATTATCATTTTTTTTTACCTGTAAAAGTACCTTTTCAGGCTAATCACAGTGTCAGGAGAACCTAGATTAGGTAGTTTTACGTTATTTGATATATGTTATTTTCTTTGCCCTCTAAATCGTATTAATTAAAAGAAGCCAAAAAAAAGCATTTTTCAAGCATTTCCGACAGTACTTCTTTTTAACAAGGAGAAACATCCAATCAAGCCTTTGATTGAACGTGCTGACAAAGAGGAGCCTGTCCCTAGGGCGGAGGAGTTCAACACTTCCGGTCTGATACCCTTCGTCGCTGATTGCTGTAATCAGTAGGATAGATAAGGCATTGAATGCATCCAGAGCTGGTAACTTCAGATTCAATTCTTGCCCTGCTTTGGGGAAAACTGTTGATTATCCTGCTAGGCTACGAGGCTCATCAGAGCTCCGTGATGCTATATCACAGCTACTCAAGACCCCAGAAAACACAGAAAACGGCTCTTCCTCTCTTGCATGGCTTCATCAGAAAAGGGCCGGTCGGGTAGCCTAGTGGTTAAAGCGTTCGGTCGTCACGCCGAAGACCCGGGTTCGATTCCCGACATGGGTACAATATTGCTAAAAGCGGCGTAAAACCATACTCACTCACTCACTCATCACAAAAGGTCATGGTAATATGGTAGAGTGGCTCAAAAGCACCAATGCAGACCGCAATCGCCAAGCGAAGATTCCAAGTATTGAATCACAGATAAGTTGGTCTTGTGAAGCTTGTCTACTGGGGATGCCCAGATCCCTGGCTAACAGCTCGAATCATAGATCTATGTGACATACGTTTCAACGTGTAAGTCAATAGTGACCGGAAGTGACGTGACCACAACAAACACACTGGCAAATCATCGATGTAATATTGCTGAAAGCGTGTAAAACTCGACTCACTCACTCACTCACTGGTTGGTTGTGTGACCACTGACTTGGATGATTACGTCATCGTACCCCCAAGGTGTGTTAATCTGTTGATGAATTCGAGGGAAGATTTGGGTCGATAAATGGAGTTAACATCACGTTCTCGATTGTCGCACTTACATGGTACGTGTGCGTATGCGTGTGCGTGTGCGTGTGCGTGTGCGTGTGTGTTTCTATTCCCGCAATCACGCTCGGTAACAACAAGTACAATCCACGAGGTCATGGAAGCGCTCAGTTAATGAGACTAGTGGGGATAATTCGAACTGAGTGCTAAAAACTAGACGACCTCTGCTTGTTCCGGTTTTCTTCGTGTGTTTGCGGAAAAGAATAGCTGCACAGGACCTGGTGCTTGAGGTACGGATCGTAGGAAAAGAGATCAAATGTTTCTGATGTCTGACTGCCAATTGTGTTGGTAGCAATGGCTGTTCATACTCTCAACCAAGGGTTTATCTTGTCAAGTCTTTGAAGTTAGCAAGCCGACTTGAAATAGCTCCAGGGAAAAACGCTCACTCGCCCCCCCCCCCCCCCCCCCCACACACACACTCACTCCCTCACTCCCTCATTCACTCACCCATCCATCAAAACCCAATGCCTCCAACACTCCCTCCCCACTCCCTCACTCACTCACCCATCCATCCAAACCCACTCCCTCACTCACTCACTCACCCATCCATCCAAACCCACTCACTCACTCAAAGCCTGATACTCTGACTTGAGTGGGTCAACTGGAGAACCCCAATTCCCGTATTTCTTTAATCATCATTAAACGGGTTTACTGACCCTAGAACTACAATATACGACGCCACCACAGCCTCCGTCCGTCAAGGCAAGTACGTGGAACCCTCCTCTACTGATGGAGAACCTGATGACCATCACCCATGCCGTATCGATCCAGTAACCTGTCTTCACGGCAGCAGTTATTGCGACACTTGAGAAGGATGTAGCAGAGTCGGATTCAGTGTACTCGAGCGACTGACACAACTGCTGTCGTCCTTCACTGCTGATATCCTTCATTGAGCCGGTCAAGTAGGATGAAGGAGTTCATATAACTGTGGAACTCCAGGACTGGAGACTAAAGCCGTGTTGGTAATAAGCAGTTATATGACATACGGGTGTCAGTGTCGGGACATGTAGACCATGGAAGCCATTACCTCAACTATTCCGAATCCCTCGGTCCGACTCTGAAATTACTCGGTCAGTGCATTTTGTAAATTATATCATGTTAGAGACGATACTATTATTGATCAGTGAAACCAACCTGTAATTGGCCCTACAGTTTACTAAATACTGGAAGGGTCAGCTGTTTCACATTTAACCCCTTGCCTATGATAAAC